TGGTCTCGTCACTCGTTCTTCACCTTGATAGAGGTTTTTTATTTGATATCAATAGTTTTGTAAGCGCTATTTTCCAAGTTAAAGATTCAAGACACATGAATTTGAATATTTTTCAAATACAATGAAAATATAGATTTTTAGGTTATTTTTGGACCAAATTTATACAAATTATGGTTCATAATGAGGAACAGAGGTATTTTTCAGTGGTATGTGGTATGCATATTGTTTTATCTTTGACTTGAGGCTTAAATTGATGAAATTTTCAAGAGAACATATGCAGTCTTTTTCAAAAATGCCCGTTATGTGTGCGGTCAACGGTCAATGTTTGGTTTTTTGCCAATTTGGCCACCCCCACATGAAATTTTCAAGTCGCAATTGACACCACTTGAGAACTTACTTTAAGTCCTTTCGAACGAATATGCATTTGTCCTGGTTATGTCAAGTCTAGGTCCCACAGCGACCGTATGAAATAATGGCCATTTTTGCATGACCTTTTGCATAGTTTGCATTTATACTAACATTTTTGTAGATTTCTTTTAATTTAATTTGTGACTAACCGCATGCACCTCTCCCGACGATAGTCCACCTTCTGGCCTGGTGGTAGGGGACTTAAATTCGGTATTTTATCGATCTTATGCGAGGAAACCATCAAACATGTAGTTATTTGTTGTTAAGATTTCATATTTCATACATCTAGACTTTTTTGTGAAAATTCGATTTTTGGTACATTTGGCCGATTTTTGGTGGAATAGCCATCCAAAACGGTCGATATTTTGTTCAATTTTGTTTCGCTAGTCATAGAGCATATTTACAGAGTCATTGGAGTACATTTTGGCCCATAAAATACTTCAAATGTTAAAATTAACATTTTTTGTCATTTTTGGCCATTTTTGGCCATTTTTGGCCATTTTCGCACTATCAAAGGCCATATCGTGAAGACAAGAATTTTTAGGGATATAAGCTATGCGGCATTTTATAGCTTAGACTTGGGCCTTAAAATCGGTGAAATTTTCAAGTGACCATGAAAGGCTAGTTTTCGAGCTAATGACCATTATGTGTCCGGCCAAACGGTAACTTTTTGGTTTTTGGCCAATTTGGCCACTCCAACTTGAAATTTTTGGACCGAAAATGACTCCATTCGATAGCTCACCTCAAGACCTTTCCAATGATATGCATATGTCTGGGAGGGTGTAAAGTCATGGCGCTTCGGTGACCATAGGGAAAAAAGTCGAAAAGTGACTTTTGGAGGCCGGCCACGGTCAACATGGCGCCCAAATCGAAAAGTGCCGGAACAAAAAAGTCTTAGTTTTTTATGTACTTTAATCACAGGAAGTTTCAAAAAGATCAGAAACAACTACGCAAAATTGGCCACAGACAGACAGACATTTTGATTTTTCATAGGAATTCATATGAAATTTTTAAAATAATAAATTTTTCGAACGGATTGATCGATTTCGACGGTTAGGAGGTCGTTGGAAAGGTATTGAGCTCTAGAATAAGAATATAGATGTTTCAGGGGTCAATGACCTCATTTAGTGCCATCTATGGTCATGAAACTGAATTTTGACCCTTTTCTTGAAAGGACCATATTTTGAAGACAGGTGGACCGATTTTCAAACTTTTATATTTTTTCTTGATCTATAGCCCAAGGGCTTTCCAACCATACATCAACCGGGGCCAACGGCCTTCTAGGTCTGGATTTCGTATATTACGTGTATATATAGCGAGTTCGACTTTTCAACACACTAATGTGGTTTCGTCACTCGCGCGAACTGCCGTCCGCTGTGATAGTAGATTTTTTTATTAATATTAGAAAAATATTAGCAAAATTAGCAGTAAACTATGAAACTAGACTTTACTAGATTTTGTGTCAGTCCCCCAGCTTCAAGTTATGGAAAACGAAATACAAATTGGAGGCTAAAATATGAATCATAAATTATATATTTTTTTTTATTTAACCATAAACAAATTTGGAGAATTTGAATGGATAAAAATTAAATTGACCTGAAATCCAGTTGAAAATAAAAGTATAATTTTATGGAAAAAAATTGTGTTGCTCTTTTATTTTCAACAGGATTTCAGGTCACTATAATCCTCACCCGTTCATTTGAAAACTTTTTTTTGGCACCGAATAAATTTAAATGATTAAAGAGCATGTCCTTTCAAGATTTTGAACGAATAAATAATAAGTGTGGTACAGATTGCTGGGGCCTTGACACACAAGTGTGTGATGAAATTACTTCATACACTTCCAGGTGTTTCTTGTAATTTTTTCGTAGAATATGTTCTCTTAAACACCCCTAAATATTGCTTCAAAGACAATAGATTGTGATATTAAGGTCGGAATAAATCTATGTGAAACCCCTTGGATATAAGTAAATACGAATTTCAATCTAAATTGAATCTCATGCTTACTGTGACTTTTCATTAATTACGCATATTGATAAGAGTAATTACATAATTGCGATTGTAAAAATGTACAAGTCATCATTGAAATGTTTTTTTTTTATTTTCTGCAATACGAACTTTGTAATAAAAATTTACTTCAACAGCATCCACTAACTCGTTGGAAATAATTGGGCAACAATTGCCATCACGATATTACAATCATATAAAAGTTTGTCAATAAGTTCATTTGGCTTCAGCTTTTACAAGTAAATTACAGCAGGATGGTAATAAAATGGTGTGCAATAAAAATATAACAAAAGTATATCAATAATAGGTTGATTAAATTCCGACTTTGTCTAACTCCCAATTAAATTGAGAAAACCACAAGTTCAATTTTAAGTATGCCACTGAAGCAGAGATTTTCTTTTACTTTAATAATAAAAATATTTATCTAATATTTGGCTTATCATAATGGGTACAACAATTATTGCCAAGCAGAGTACAAGAATGGAGGAATTCTTTGTGTTCCAGAGCAATTCATATTACTTTAATGGGAGAATTAAAAAAAAACTAAGACTGACATATATCTAATCCTTGAAATACGAATTTAAAATCGATTGGCATCAGTAAGCATTTGATTTTCATGATGATATTCTCATAAACAAAATCAAAAATATCAACCAATGCACACGGCACGTTTATCAGTACCTCGGGACTACTATCAAACTCAATTCGATGAAATACATCCATTCGCGGAGACGTACAAATTGGATTTACGGAAAAGTGTCTCAAATGGTTGAGGCGGCTAAGTTCAAAACAAATTTCGCATGTGTCTAAAGATGAACCCATCTGCCTACGAACCATATATTGTGTTTCATGGACTTAGTATGAAGAAAAAGATTATAGAGAAAGCAAAAAGTACGGTCGTATTCCCTATTTAAATGCTCCAACCCTCCAAAATTGTCATCAAGTACCGAAAACCGGGTTGGTCAAGCAAAAATTCGTTTTTGGTGATTTTTATGGTTACAGCACATCAAAATTTGAACCAAAACAATAGATTGAAAAACTTATCTTAAATTGCAAATTTTGTGCATTTGAATCAAAAAATGGACTGGTTTTGACACACATGGCAATAATCCATGATGCTCACATCAGTACAAAAGATTGTGCGTACTGTACTTGATCGACCCTAATCGCAAACATCAGCAATGACTCGATTGAAACTTGTTACAAGGACTATTGCGATAAGAATGTCGTGAAATGTAACAGCGTTGGTATAGCTGCCGTTGACAAATTCTATCAAAATTTGAAGGAAATCGCAACGGAGCTTGGTCTGTTGATCACACGCACCACAATGTTTTCTGGCGTTGGTTATGCCAGAAATGAACCGATTCAAACAAAGAAAGAGCGGGAAAAAATGTTGGATGATAAACTGGACAAATGTTTTTTAAAAATTTTTAAGAACATATTTGGTGGACATGGAAATGACTGCGTATAGCGATTTTGTACCATAACGAAATACAACAAATTTTTTAAATCAGTGAATATTTTGTGCTCAAAATGTCCATAAATCAAACCCAAACCACAATGAAAATACTTTTGTCGAATAAATAAAGATCATATTTTCACATGGGTTTTTGCCAAACACAAATTCATCTGAAGGTCATCAAATATTTTTTTAGGATTTATTGACTTTATATTATACAATACCTCTTTAGTTAAAAACTGCATTGTCATGATTAAAATCCAAAAAATGGGTTATAACAATAAGCAAATCATTCAAACAAAGCATTTTTATTTTCTTACAATGTGATAACGTTTCAGCGCTATCGTGCACGTAACAATTCGCCTCTAAGACCTTTGATTCAAAATTAGACGGTATGGGGTCAGACATACGTTTTGTCAAGGAAAAAAAGAAAAAAAGGAATTAAAAATGACCATTTGGTTCTAGCGTAGAATTGTATGTCAGAAATTGATAGTGTAATAAAAGACTTTGGCTCGATGTCGCTTGACAGATATGATTTAATAAACAGATTTTTGTTTCAAAATTTATGATCACGATCACCTTATTGTGCAAACGGTTATAATTTTTAATATCTGTTCATGAAGGTGATAAATTGTGACGACACCATTGCGATAAGTAATCTCTAAGCTTCGAATGAAAAAGCGTCTAAATATGATAAGATTTCATTTCAAAATGCTATTTGGTATCAAACAACTTCAACAACTTTCTAGTGCTTTAATAGTTAAAACAAATACTCGATAAGTATTGTTCGACTTGAAATTAATAATTTTTACTAGAATTTTCATCTATGATGAATCAGATACTTTTGATTTATTTGCACTTTTATCGCTCGATTTTATTGTCATAAAGATGAAGATACAGCCTAAAAGTATAGATTTCAATACATAAACTTCTCATATCAATTCAATATATGGAATGCGTTTTACTTACTGATTAAAAGTGTTCCATTTGCATAAAATATCATTGTGCACATGGTTGATAGCAGAACGCCGACTAGATTACTTCCAAAAAATCCACCCAATCGCCCGAACATGAGAATAGTCGCCGATGCCATCCCTTTATATTGTGTCGGGTACAAATTCACTGCAACGGACATAACAATGTTAGCACAGCTGCAACTACTGACAAATAGAATGAAACTCGACACAATCGCTTTGAAATCAGTGAAAAAATTTATCGCAAGGCAACAGCTAGACGAAATTACTATCCAAACACCTAACGAAATAAGCAAAACAGTGAAAATCATTTAACTATCACAACAAATGGTAATCTTACCGACTATTTTTTTGGGTGATATTTTCTTTAGCAAATAGCTTGATATTGCGCCAGTTAGCATGAAGAAAACGCCAATTCCCAGCATAATTTGATAGCTTGTCGTATTTTTATTGTCTAATGTGTCACATCTAAAAAATAACCAAAATTTCAATATTGAAAAAGCATAAAAAGCACCAATACTTACATTTCAAAATCATTTTCGCCTGAATTGGTTTTTGGTTCAACGATTTTACATAAAATTTCTGGTGGCCCCTTGTAATTTTGAAGCTGGACCAAAAAGTCAGGAAACCACATAAACGTTCCGTGTCCAATTGCGAACAACACAAAGAATAGAAAGCATAATTTCCATGTGTGAGTGAGCAAAGGTGGCAGAAAAATTGGCTTCGTTTGACACCACAAATATCGAATAATATTGCAAAATCCCTTAGTACCCGCAAGGCTATTGCCACCAATTGATTCACTTTTAATTCGTTCTACGGGGTAGCTCTTAAATAAACAATAGAAATTCAGTAATTTTTACTTTGATCACAGTTCATATTACCTGTTTGGGCAGTCCGGTATTAAAGGCATAGATTCGTTTCAATATTTGAAGTGCCTTTTCATGTTGGTTAATGGCAAGTAAAAACTTTGGACTTTCTGGCAGTATTGCAAATATTATGCCGTTCATCAGGTTAATGAGTGAATTACAAATTAAAAACAAACGCCAAGGTTTGAAATTCAAACTGTAAATTTGCCATGTAAAATCCATTGGTAAGATTAGTAGCGCCATTGTTGCGATGAAGACCATTAAACCGCTCAGAAAAATAGATGAACATGCTACCGCACGTGGGGCTGTTTTTGATGTATGAAATTCACTTACATACGAATACGAACCAGCCGTACATCCTGCCAAGCTAATAATAAAATTGTGTGTATTTTCTTGAGTTTGTTGCGTCGAAAAAAGTGTTTACTCACAAAGCTCCGGCCAAAAATCGAAGAAAAATAAGCAATGAAGTATTTGTTGCAAATGCAGATGGAAATGAAAAAGCAAATCCCAAAAAGGCAGCTGAACATAGAACTTTTTTTCTGTCATAGATAACAAATTGTCGATTTAATCAAAAATATGGTCATAATTTCTATATTTACCGGCCCCATGTATCCAAAAGAAGTCCCCATAAAAATGACGTTGAAACAATGCCAAGAAATGAAACTGAGCTTAGAACACCCATCTCGGCCAATGTTGGTCTCATATCACATTTAATGTACGGCAAAATCATACTTATGCCTACATTTTCTATAGACGCTCCCAATATGCTCAAGCCAGAGGCGACAATTAAAATGACTTGATATTTTCCAATTTCTATCAAACAATTCACATTTGAATGACACATTCAATATTTTATTCAACAATATGTAAATTGCTCACTTGTCGCTTCAATCGCTTCTTCCAATGTGTGCTCAACTCCTTCTTTTCCATGATCATTTTCAACGGCTAATATTTTCAAAAATTGAATATATACATTTTCGCAACGAAATCGATTTTGAATTAATACTGACCAATGGTTGAATGTTTGCTTTCAATGGCTGTACTCTTTGTTATATCATTCGTCATTTTTAATTCAAATTTTCTTACTTTTACTTTTTCTTACGCTTGAAAAAATCTGCAATTGTAAACAACAATTTAGGTAATTCTAAATTTTTGTCTAGACTGAAAATATTCAACGTAATTTGCCTCTTTTATGTATTCTTTTCAAGTGCGAATTCATTAATAAAAAATTAACACTTCCATAAAAATGTTTACTGGAGAAATGATCAATTTAAACTGATTCTATTCACTTTGATCAAACCCAACTCAATGAACATCTAATTATTACTCAATGAAACGGGGGAACAGTATAGAATTATGGCACGCAATCTGTATTTAGAGCGACACCCATCATATATGCTCTTTTCAATTGCGATAAGATTTGTCAGACAACACTTAAAATTATATTCGCGCGACAACGGTTTTCCATCTACAAATCTACATTTTGGCGTACGTCAAATTGTAACAATTTTAATTGGCTGAAGTAGGAACTGAAGTTTGAAACGACATAAATATAGGTGGCTTGGTTGAATTTCAGTGTAAAATTTGTATCATGTCGTGGCACACAACCATTAAATTTATATTCATGTACCCCATTCAAATGGGCATTGACGAATATTGCGCTCATTGATATAAAAATAATATCATTAAAATTGTATCGAAATTGTCTATGGAATATACATTGATCCAGTACGATCTCTTTTATGAGAATGCGTTTATCGGCAACGATTTTCAGTTTATTTTGTTAAAAATCAGTGTTTATGTCAAAACCAAATTAAATAAACAAATTGGGATAATGTTAATCTAGTATGTTTCTCACGACGGCAACAAATATACGAAACATTTGATTGTTGTATAAGGACGTATGCAAGCAAACTCAAAAAAATCATATGATAAATGATCATCCCAACCGTCCATTCGATTAGTGGTGTCGCAATTGTCACAAAATTTTGAAGAAAACTTTCATATACTTCATAGTCTCTTCACAATTTCGAACTTAGTAAGTTAATTTTCTGTTGATACTTCTATCTCAAAAAACATACATTCATATACCGCACCCATTTTGTTATTAGAATTGCATTCTTTATTCTTTCTTCACTTAAGAGTATTGGGCTTCTAAAACATTATTTTTTTGTTCATTTATCGTCAAAATGCACAAAAGCTTTTTGCCATGTATGGGCCTATATCTATTACGAAAGGTAAATAGGAATTGTAGTTAAATGATGAAAATGCATTCGATCATGGTATAGTATGAAAGTAAATATTAGTTTAATTTGAAAAAGCAATGATGAGTTTATCAAAGAAAACAATAGAAATTGAATGTTTGTTTTCATCGCTTCATCGCTTCACCGACCAACTCCTTTTTGATTATTTTTCGAAATACTAAACATTTTATTATCTCTTGAGGATGTCTCCTTGAAATAGACCGGGTAAATAAATAAAAACACTTAAATTTGGTGATTTGATTACGAGTAACTTTTTCGTTACAAGTAATGCTATTTTATTTGTTTTTTTTATTTTATTTTTTTACCATTTGACACATGCATTCTGCATTTCGTGCAATTTTATGTATGCCAACAATGAAATTAAATTGATCCTTATATTAAAGAAAATAGTGTAAATATTTTTTTATACTAATACAGTTGATATATGTTTTAGCCGAACATAATCAAACCCCAAAAAAAAAATAATAATAATAAAGTAAAAAAAAAGATCGAAATTCGTGTTAATGTAGGCGGTGAATGTAGCCAGTCTTGGTCAAATTTCAAAGTCTGTTGTGTCTAAACAAAGAACATCGGACGACCGCTTATGATGTTTGTATTGATTGCTCGTTTGCTCCATTCTGACTGTAAGTTGTTCATATTTAACTTTTCGTTTTCAATATAAACACGACCGCGGTACTAGAAATGAATAAAAAGTATAATTTAATAAAAATGATTAAAATTTGCAATTTTATACAGGGAATATCGTTCGTCTATCATTTGCATCCATGCGATGGATTTATCACATAAATGTTGGTATATTTCGATGTTTTGACACTAATTGAGTGAATGTTAAAGGTTTGATTGTGAATGTGGAATTCTAAAATATAAAATTCGAAGTCGAAATTCAGTGCAACATCTTTAACATTCATTAAGTATCTCACAACATCTAAATACACGATTATATCAAATTGCAGATAAATCTGTCGCAGGTAGATAATAAATAGATCTTAGCTGAGAGATTCATCTGAAGGTATCTCTTGATTTAATAAAAGGTACTCACGGCAGCAAGATGAGCATAATATGTTGGAGCCGGACTGAGTTCATGAAAAAAAGAAGGAAAATTAATTAATTAAAGGCAAAAAAAACATTGGATATAAACTCAATTACTTACTATGAAACGGTACGGTTGCATCGAGTGAACAAGTGGCAAAGCTAAAAAAATACAAAAACAAATGCCAATTAAATTTTTCATTGAATCCACAATTTAAATGATGTAAACTTACATTGTATGTCAGTGCTTGTAGATCGTCTATATTGTGGTCTGCCTCGTCAAGAAGAATGCAATATTTCGTGGGTTTTGCAACTCCCTGGATAGACTGATGTGACACCAGATAGAAATGATTTTCGTTGGGTCGTGTTATGACGGTGTCGACAATGGTTCCACAGGGAACGTTGTTATTTTTTCTATCGTCTCTTCCAACTTGTGTGTTGCCTGGGAAGAATCGTGTATGGTGTCGTTTTTGTACAACAACAACTGTCATTTTCACCTGTTTGTCATAGCCTGGTTGAATTTCTCGGCATGCATCTTTCATCGCACTACTTTCAATGGCCATAACTTGATCGAATTGACCTTCGGAGACGCCGTCTCTATAATAAAAGATTTTTTCCGGAAGTGCATCATTTTCCTGTTGATAGAACTTCAAATGTTCTTTGATGATATCCTTAAAATCGCTAATGATTTCGATGCGTTGACCTTGAAGGCGCCAATAGAATCTGTAGCGATATGCGTTCGAATCATATGAAGCCGCAACCCCAACAACACTAAACACACATGAAATAAATAATTATAGTATTCGTTTGATGAACGAAAAGTAATCGTTATTACCTTGGAATTCGAGTTTGATCGGGACTGGGATGTGTTACATCTGCGCCGATAAGCAAGCATTTTTTATCCATCAAAATGGGTGTTTCCTTCAATTTGTAGTTGGTGCCATTCAACTTGGCATTCACTTTCAATAGAAGGTTCGAAATGGTGCTTCCATCGGATCGCTTTTTAAAAATGGTATTCCCTTTGATGCACTGCGTGAGAACGCCATTTTTGGAAACAATTTCCGCGTACTTCTTAATTTCGGAGTACATCGGGCCATTGTCCGGTACCACACAGAACACAATATTGACGCGTTTTTCGTTTCCAATACGGTCAAGTTCTTGTTTAATTTTTGGCAGATCTCGATCAGACAACATGCGAATATCATTTGGCTGTGGATTCAATTGTAATCCAGTTGACCGGCTAATTCTGAACAACTAAAAATGTGATTGAAACGAACAAAAATGTTAACATTTTCAATTTAAATTTGAATTTGATTCATTGCTTTACCATGCCTGCGAATTCTTGTAATTCATTTTGTCTTGTACGGAAATTTGTGTTCAAAATGCTCCATTCGATGACTTTGCCCTCTGATATCAAAAATGTCTCATTTTCGGCACGCCATACACCTTTCATAGGATTAATCACGCTGTTTTTATATTGAAGAGCGGGAGCTGCCAACTGTCTTGCCGGCACTTTGGTGAAGTTTGTATCGATATTAATACCGAAACCTTTGATTGTTGGGCACTGGTTATGCTGAATTTGTTGCAATAATTGCATAATCTTTTGTTTTCGAATGTCAGTGGATGTTGCTGCCTCGCGAATGAGGTTTCGAGTTTGATTCTCGGTGCACTTTTTGTTGCTCATCTAAAAATAATGAATATAACTTGTTAAATAAGTAAAAAATATATTTTTTTTTTCTCTCTTCGAATTTACTATTTACCTGAGAGTCTGAAATGGAACAAAACTCGATTGGCACCTTTATACTTTTAATATGACTGCCCAGCCGGATACAATTGAGATTCGGGAATTGAATCCTACGATTTGTTTCTTGGAAATATTGTAGAATGGTTTTCTGTTGACCATCTTCCGTTGTGAACACATTTTTGGCTGGCGGATCAACGATTTCCATGAATTTGAAAATCATTGGTTTGTCATTCGGCTTATTGTAGTACAACTCTAAACCACTGAGATGCCGTTTCAACATCATTTTAGCATCGTAATCTAGTTCTCGGTTCAGATTAACGTTCTTGTCCATGTCTTTTAACAAATCGAGCAATGATGCATAACGCTTCGGAAATGCCTTGTGATTAACATCAACATTGAGAAATGGTGTCTTGCCGAGTACCATGCTCTGGAATAATCCTAACCAAAGCTCATAAAAATCACCCAAATATATGCGATTTGGAGGTGGCAAGTAAAATGATCGACCTCCGACCACTCCGCTTTTAAGATGTGCTTGATGGAAGGCTGACTGTGATAAATTTCAATAAATCATATTTCAGTTATTTCATTTAAAAGCTTTGATTTTATTAACTTGAATTTTCTTACTTTTAGAACGACTTCAACGGCTTGCATGGCGCGTTTTGGATCTTGGGCTTGTCCAGTGTTTTGATACCTAAAAATAAATGAAAAAAATGATTTTCAGTTCGATTCAAGTACAAAATACAAGTAATAATACACTTACGATGTCAATGAACGTCTGATAGGAATTTCACTGTCATTTGCAGCCTGAATAGCCACAGTAAATGTACGTTCTCTTCCGGTTTCTGGATGGATAATTTTTATCTCACGTTCCAGATCGCCAATTTTTAATGGTTTCGTTGCGTATGCATTCTTTTGGCCATCAAATGCAATACATTCCTTTGGATAATTCAATTCAGTAAAACGTAAGAAAACCGCTGTGAGCAGCTTCTTTGGACGATCTGGTTCAATTTTCACATCGTAGTGATAAGCATTTTCTACCAAATTATTCAAAACAATTTTCAAATAATTGGTTTCAATTTCACCAAGGGATCGACCGCGCTTTCCCGGTCCTTTATACTTGACCTTTAATTCATTTATCCCTTTCTTCTTTAAATCGTCCATAGTTATTGGTGCTGGTCGATTTTCTTGTTGTTTTCTGGCGCCACCACTTGACGACGATTGTTCGGATCTAACGGACTGCATTGATTCTGTACGTGTCATTCCAGATCCGGACGGTTGTTGTCTTCGATTGTCATCTTTTGGACGGGCACCACCTTGTGGGCGCGATTGTTGTCCCCATGACTGTTGCTGTGGTCTTTGTCCTTGTCCACCTTGCTGTGATGACTGTCCCCATACCTGTTGCGGTTGTCTATGACCACCTTGTTGTGGCCCACCTTGCTGTGGCCTTTGTTGCTGTTGCGATCCACTTTGTTGTGGTCCACCTTGTTGTGAGCGTTGCTGCTGTTGTGGTCCACCTTGCTGTGATGACTGTCCCCATGCCTGTTGCGGTTGTCTTTGACCACCTTGTTGTGACCCACCCTGCTGTGGCCTTTGTTGTTGCTGCGATCCACTTTGTTGTGAGCGTTGCTGCTGTTGTGGTCCACCTTGCTGTGGCCTTTGTTGCTGCTGTGATCCACTTTGTTGTGGTCCACCTTGTTGTGAGCGTTGCTGTTGTTGCGGACCACCTTGCTGTGGCCTTTGTTGCTGCTGCGATCCACTTTGTTGTGGTCCACCTTGTTGTGGCTTTTGTTGCTGAGGCCCACCTTGTTGTTGACGTTGCTGTTGAGACCCGCCTTGTTGTGGTCCACTTTGTTGTGTGCGTTGCTGCTGTTGTGATCCACCTTGTTGTGGCTTTTGTTGCTGTGCTTTACCTTGTGGTTTGGAACGCTGTTCTTGGCCACCAGATATGGACATTTCCTCAGTTAATTTTAATAAATTTGCACGTCCCGTAGGCCCTACAGTTGATGGTGTAGTACCCGAAGAGCTGGCCGTTGACTTTTCTGTTGATCCCGATCCTTCGGATCCGCTTTTCTTGGGATCTAAACATAATTTTTATATGAAACCCAATCAATGAATAATATTAATTATTACAAATCATTCTGGCATGAATCAGAAGTCAAACACATATTCCACTATCTGTAAAACGTAAGAGAATTGTTCAGAATAGGATCTTTGTTTTTTCATTTACAAAACTCTAACATAAAACATTCCGAAATATTTTTCATTCACCTCATTCATTTCAACAGAATTAACAAATTAAAATTATTCTAAAAATAGCTTCTTTTGTTTGACTTGAATTCGAATAAATAAAATAATAAAAACTGCTCTGTGTTTGTGTCAATCAAAATGTTGACCAGACAGAAAAAAAGAAGAAGAAGAAGAAGAAAAAGATGTAAAGCTGAAAAATGAAAACTACACAGTTTATAAAATATCAGTCGACGCTATATGCAAAACCGACTGGTACGTGTGCTCATACGTTTTTACATCTTTTACATCTAGTGACCATACGATTTTTGGACTGTACGAAGATACACACAAAGAGTAAAAGAATCAGTCGAAAAATTGTATGGTTACTAGATTAAAAGATGTAAAAACGTATAAGCGCACGTACCAGTCGGTTTTGCGTATAGCGTCGGCTAATATTTTCTTACTGTGTATCGATTTTTCTCCAGTCATCATAAGATGCACTTCGAATTGCTCAAAATGGAATTTTTGCGTATCACATTTCAGTCTGACATTCTCCAACAAATGTATTATTATTTTTTTCTTAATTTGGTAAATTTCAAGAAGAATTATTGCGTCATTCATTTTACATGAATATTAAAAAGCATAACAACTAATGGAAATATGAAAAATCGAAAAAAATGCTGGATACTAAGTTTTTCTTGAATTCAAAACACGCGTAAGATTTAAAATTGAAAAGGAATCGCAAGTGAAATGATTATAAAAACAATGATCGAGAAAAATGGCCGCCTTTGTGTGACTATTTTTGCCTTTGGTACAAGTATGTTTTTATTTTACTTACATTTCTTTCCACCCATTATGGTTTCGATGAAAATAACTGTTTAACTTTTCTATTCAATATATAATTTCCGAAATTAATAAAAAAAAGTTCAAAGTTCTAATTTAAATCTTCACTTTAATGAATTTTTTTTCGCAGAGAATGTTTTCACTTTTAGTGGTTGCTTTGATATATTCTTCTGTAGTGATGAAATTCTCTGATTGCATTTGACATTTGCAGCTATTGAAATGTTCGATACATTCCACACATCGTGAGCTGTGTGGCGACTCACTCATTTCAACTGGCGAATGGCAGAGAACGTGTAAAAGGAAAGCAAAAACCAGATGGTTTCAAATACCGAATATAAAAGCATAAAGACTTTTCTTTCGTTCAATAGGCTCAAATATGGCTGCGTTCTGTTCCAATGCTCTGTTAAATTTATAGACCTTTTTCTTATATTCGATTAGTTTGTCGTTGATATGTTTAAAAATATTTATTTTTGAAATTAAATTTTTTAATTTCTTTACAAGAATCGTTTTACAATTGAAAATTGTTCCAAAAATCAAATATTCCAGAAAATTGACGGATTCCAATATGATTAGTCGTTTCAAATAAGAAACACGTGAAAAACGGTAGGTAGATATAAAACCTGTAACAAACATTTGTTTTTGATTCACCAACACAATGATAAATTGGATATATGCGGTACCATAGTGATTTGCTTCAAGCTGGAATGCCAAAACAACGTAGCAGCTAGCAGCGATCTACACACATGGATCATGTATGGAACAACATAAGGCACATATACACGCAATAACAAATGTTGCTCTCATACTCATTTATTTTTGTATGGCGTTACCTTCCTCATATTTCAAGAGTTGGTGAGAGAGATTTCTGTATGTGTGTGTGTGTTTTAAGTTAGCACTTTGCCAATACTTGAATTGTAAGGTTCGTGTTTTCTGGGGAGAAACATCAGTTGTAATGCGACAATGCATTGAATCGGTTACGTATTGTTTTGTTTTCGTTATTTTTTTTATTTCTTCCAATTGCATTCGTCAACATAATATCGATTACAGCAAAGTAAAATTGTACGAAGAACACAGTAAAGTAAAATCCCTTAATCAACCTGTTACATATTTACGTTAAATTGATTTGCTATCGTGTATCCAAGTTTGGTGTAATTCCAGTTGTATCTGGTTGGATATATGTTTTAGGTGAGTATCACATTTTTTTGCTAGCACCGTGTTGTGCAAATTGTGTGATGTGAGCGGATTGAGAGAATGAATAAAAAAAACTGACGTAGAATGAAGCGGCAATCTAGCGACGACCTTCAAAAACTTACAATAATTCAAAATATATGTGTCTAACTTTTTGATCCGATTTTTTTTAAAGAACGTTGTGAAAATGGTCAAAATTGTGAGTAACATCGTCAATGCCATTCGACCAAGTACCTTTTACATGTTTTTATGGACAACATATGTTCTTAATTTATTATTTATCTGGTTTTTCTTGTCAATGCACATTGTTTTCCATTCGCCAGAGCATTAAAACAAACGGACAATCACTTTAATGCGATCCATTTATAGTGCAAACACGGTAAGAAAATGTACAGTTTGATTTCATAAACAATGAGCAGTGTCGAGGTCGGAATACGTGTTGGAATTATTACAATGAAATTACATCGAGTTCATATTGAAAAATTAATCAAAATGCAATAAAAAGAGATTCGGACACGGAATTTATCCAAAACAACTTCTTAGAGTTAATCATATAACATGTCATGCCGAAAAGGACAAAGCTTACAATCGCGTTATTGAGCACTCATAACGTGTATGTGTGTGTGTAGAAAATTGCAGCCAAATTAATCTTTAATGTGTTTGCCATTGTATGTCTGGTTATTTGTTAATTGCGATTTGTTGTTTTTGTTGTTTCAGTGATTAAGCTCTATGAATAAACATCGACAAAAAATGATTTGCCTCACGCAAATTGATTAAAATGTTGTAAAAATCATTCTTGAACCTAGATGTTAAATTCAAAGAATAAGTTAAACAAAAAACGTCTTCAATTATCCAAATATTCCAAATCGAGATAGATTTGCTGGATTTTTTTTAATTGTATACCAACAAATAATGTATAAAAAAGAAACGTAAAGCATAATATGTTTTTTTCGCTCCCATTCCATTACGTTTTCAGGCCAATAATGGCATTAATTTGGTGTTTCAATATATTTTTTTCTTCTCAACACCGTAACTTTATTACGCCATCTAAAAAGCGAACGAATGAAAATGGTGCGCCATGAGTTTGTTTTTCTTTCATTTTTATTTGCACAGTGTTTTTTTTCCGCTAAGATTGATTTTGCCGACATTAAATCAACTCTTCTCTTCGTCTTTTTCAATTGACTGGATTTTGGGTGTGCATTTACAAAAGTTCTGTATTAAACGTATAGTGTTCTGTTTTGCCAGTGTGTATAGGTCACATGAAACGAAACTATTTATCGAAATAAAATCGAGGAGAATTCGAGTAAATTTATCTCTTTTAGCATTAATTGTTCTAAATATCTTTCGACTGTAATTACCATTTGCATGGCAGCGTCAGTGTGTTGTGTAATGCAAACGAACTTGAAAATTGGCGCTGAGACGCAAACGTTGTATGCTTTGTGCATTGATGGAGAACAATTTGTGTAAACTGAATCCGATTGAATCATTGAAGTGAATACAATATTTTTCCCTTCAATACCCAGACAATGGGTTCGAAACCGTATAATAACACAAAGCTTAAGACCACGGAAATCAATTGATTGCGCTCACTTATGCAACTCATGCCAAGGCGATTTTCTCAGATCATTTTCGACTTATTCGGCTTACATTCGACACGAAAATTCTCACTTTTAATCGCCACTTTCGTCATATACCCATGAGACCGACATTAAAATATAACTTTCCGCATTCATTTTCACATTTTGAATTGTTTTCTAAATTGGAGAAAAATTGGGTCACATTATTTTGTGCGCATATGGCATACGGCACATACACACGTTGATTAAATAGTAATTTTCGATGAGTTTTCTCTCGCTCTCACTTACTGTCATTATTCTTTCGGTTTTGTTTTCGACAAAAGTGTTTCTCATCAGATTTCACTGTGAATCATATGACTTCTGTGCATATTGTACTCTTGAAAATTGACGGTTCTCTTGCGAAACCGTATACTTTTGTTTAAATTGCGACAAATTTCAATTTTCTTCGTTTGAAATGAGTCTTTCAAGGTTTTCACCTTCTGATCAGCATTGAAGAGCTTCTTTTTTTTCTATCATTTATTGAAAAGAGATGCTCTTGCAAGAATCGTTGCAGATAATGCGAAAATGATCACACACAATGAAGAAGCACGTAATTCAATGACTTATCTGGAAAATGACTGGCGACTTTACCACAGAAAAAGAAACAAAACTGTTTACTCGCACAAGAACCCAACGAGAGAGTTGAATAAAAGACTGTTATTCTTTGAATTATAGCAAACAAGTTCTATAAATGGGCCGTCAAATGATAATCAGTGTGTATGTGGATAATATAATTATATATTTATGCCACATTGTATTCAAATTAATGATTGTATTGGCGGCAATATATGGAAAATAATGGGGAATTGTTATATTCGATTGCCAATGACGAATATAGAAGTCGAGTACAATACAGTGCGTGTGTATATCGTTACCACAATTATTCTTTAACATTTGCTCGTCACTCTCTGTCAACATAACCAAATGTTCGGATCTTTATCGCTTGCACGACGACGAAAAGCCACAAGCACATTAACTTATACACCGTTGTTGTTGATTTTTTTTTCATGAAATTATGAATGCAATTTTCTTTTCCGGTTTCAAGCGATGGGAAAAGCATATTTTATCTTGGTGCGCGCGTGTGCTGACAAGACAACAAAAACATTATCTAATAATTGAATTTTGACTCATCCAATATTTCAAAGACTTTAAAATCTCGATTTCAATACAAAATTAGTTTTGCACCTCGCAACAACCGTCTTCTGCCGTGTATATGTGATGATTAATTAAAAGAATGGATGACATTTTAGATTTACAGATCACCCGAATGATGTAAGTGATTGTGTCAGTCAGACCCTCGTCTAAAACGATCATTTTCGATTCAAAGAATGGCACATCACCGCAGTGATTGAAAGCAGAAAAGAAAAAGAGGAAAACAGAACATTTTTGTACGCATGCATGATTACTGTGATCCACACGCACAAACACATTCAAACCGGTAATTATTGCGCACGGTGGAATAAAACGCAACCGACAAACCATGTCAATGAATACAGAATAAAATTACGCGCTAACGTATCGGTGCGCACACACACACACCGCTTACAAACGACTTCAACCAGTTGATGATTCATTTTTACTTTGTTGTTGCTGTTTTATGGCATCCAATACCCCCATCAGTTTTAGTCGCCTCAATATGCTGTAGGCAATTTGCTAACGAACACCTTTTTTTGTATAATTTGTTGTGTGCTACTTGCTCGAATTCTCTTGTCTGCTCAAACTCATTTTAACACACTTCAATTCTACGAATGGTTAAATTGTAATGATAAAATAGATTTAATTATAGGTTTTTTATTACAATCGCATGTGATCTCATATAATGCAAGTGTGGCTGGAATAATAGAATAAGTCGATTTTCGATACGTGGCGCAGTATTATTATCTCGAGCAGAATAGAAAAGTGGCAACGGTGACAGAATTTGACAGACACCTGTGTTTTTGCCATTAAGTGAAGGGGAATATTGTTGTACTTGCAATCAACCGTTAAAAATAGATCCGATGACAATCTCTCGCTTGACTCAATTGTTCAAATGGATTTGTTAATTTATTTTGTCACCATCAATATTTACACCATAGCAAAGTGTGAACATATAGAAAATAGACATACAATATCTATAAATCGATATAAAAACGTTTATTTACCATCATTATTCTTCATAAGTTTATTTGTACACATTTTACTAGCGATATGATAAAATGTCATCCTCCACAAAATGTCATACTTTTCGATATTTGTAAGAAACAATTATACACAGATAGAGAAGTAATTACTTTATTTATTTTTTTCATTTTCAGTCGAGAAAGAGCCGGTGATGATTCAATGAGCCTAATGGAGTAAACGGCGATAAAAATTCTTTCTGTTTTATTTTTGGATAAAAAAAATTGCGCAATCAAAAGATACACAAACACCGGGAGGGTGAATAAACCAGTTTCCAGTCGAGTGAATCAAGCCCACGCCAAGCACTTAAAGAAACAACGATCCGAAACACATACCAGCATGTCCGATTTTTTCGAATATAAATTCTACACACGTGACAAATTGCATTGCGATCAATTTTTGTATAACAACAAAACGATCGAATACAATGTAAACGATCCAAAAGATCGTAATCACGCATTGAATGAACTGAAGCAATTGATTGGTGAGAGCATTGACTTTGCTCTCAAAGATAAATCGTGTGCAGACGATGATGAATTTTTGCTTCGATTTTTATTCGCACGAAATTTCGTGATAAGCGATGCATTTAAATTGCTGGTCAATTATCACAGTTTCAAACAACGAAATGTTAACATTTTGAGCAAAATATCCGCCTTGGATGAAGGTATTCAGTTGGCATTGCGAGATGGTTTCCCCACAATAATACCGCAACGCGATCGTAAAGGACGTAAAATATTGATTTTATTTGCCGCCAATTGGAATCCAATCGCATATTCTCTTATAACCGTATTTCGTGCGCTGTTGCTGTCGATGGAAAAACTCTTGGAAGACATTCAAAATCAAGCCAATGGATTTGTATTGATTGTAGATTGGACCAATTTTACATACAAACAAACCGGCAATTTACAGTTGAAAGTCATCAAGATCATGATTGAAGGATTACAAGTGAGTGAATCAGAGTGATTAATTAAGAACGAAAATTATTCGACAGAAAATTATTAACGAATAACTTTTTTTTTTTCTCTGTAGGACTGTTTTCCAGCCAAATTCAAAGAAGTGCATTTTGTGGGTCAGCCTTGGTATGTCGAAGCAACGTTAACAGTGATTCGACCATTTTTGCAAGAGGAAACGCGAGAGAATTTATTCATGCATGGAGCAAATTTATCAACATTACATGATAGTATTGCCAAAGATGTACTTCCGACCGAGATGGGTGGTGAGACAAAATCCATAAATCCATTGGACTGGGTTCATATTCTGCTCGAATCAAGCCAAAATCCAACCGAATGTCAACGGTATCGATTCACTCAATCGACCAATTACACACAAACACCAAAAGCGTGCACATCAAAATAGTGACCGTTCAAACATTTTCACATTGACTACAGATCTTCCAGTTCCAATCATATTAGAAATATAGTATTCTTTTTTATTTAAGAGTCCATTAGGTCAAATAAGAGAAATATTCATTTTTTAGATGTTAAGGCAACTATATATCTATTTTTGCAACGTTTACAGATCTGGAATGATTTAATAGGTTTAGAACAAAGACAATAGAATGAGGAAAGATGACAATATTTTTTTTTTTTGGGAATTACAATTTATAAAGTGTTAAGAGTGATTTTTGCACACAATCGACATCACAACGAATTTAATGGATTGATTGTTATTCACAGGCACGTGTTTAGAGTGAAACTCACACACATATAGGTAGAACATAATTTTAAGAAATTTGTCTTCTGAATGATGGCAAATACTGCTCATCTCAGGCTGGCTTATTCTAGCATCATTATCATAGACATAGAGTAAAATTAATTGAACACAAAATTAACACAATCAAATGATTTGGTGAAATTTTCAAATTCAAACACCTTCATTAAAACACATGTGATAATCATGACAAATAAATGTTAATCTCATTTAACTTCATTAATGTGAATGTTGACATTCAAAATATGTTCTAATTAGAATCGAAACAATCGAATTATCTAAGCACTTTGAATGAAATGTTTAAATGAATTTTGAATGTTTACATCTCGAAAATTTTATAAATTATTTTGTATTTCACCAATTTCAAAGAGAGTCGAATGGTTTTTATCGCAGCAACTATTTACAATACTCGAATTATCTTTATTTATAAATAACATGTAAACATTTCGATGGGCCGCGCACAATACTGAAAAACGTGGATTTTGCTTGGTTGGCCTCGTATTTGTAAATTTAAGAATCTCAGATAAAAGCATGGAATATATTTATTGTGTGAGTCTTGAAATGCAAATAAAAAAAATCAGTGCAATGTTTGCCATAAAATGTGTCATTTATTTTTGTAGAGTTAATGGAAATTTACTTTCTACTCAGCTTCTGTTTTCTGTCTGATTTTCTTTTTTCAAAAGAGTGAAATTGTTGAAAGCATTCTTCAACTTTTTTGGCATGTTCTGTTCAAAAAAAAATGTATGCTCACAAATTGCTGATGTATATTGTAAGCAAAATTGTCACCAGTCTTAATAACCCATATCCATGGTTTGAATCGGTTGCATGCATAATTTAACCAATTTCTTTATTCGTGGCAACTGTTGCGTACAGCGTACTGTCTTCCCTTGTCTCATTGTATTTTCAATGGATATGATAAATTGAATAACAAAAGTCAAAATATGGAGACAAAGCCTCTATTGAACAACAAGTGAACCGACTACGAGGGAAATGTAACACAAAGAAATTCAGAGTTCGCTGTCTGAAATTAAAATCAAATGAAAAAAAAAACAAATTCATCCCCGTTATGAGTTGGAACCAGCATCCAAAAGTTATTGTGTGACCTCCTCTCCTTCCTTATTGGTGAAATATCATGATTGTATTGCTGTTGACACAAAAGTCCTTGGAATATTTCGTAGCACATAAGAAGCAATCAGTTTTTCATGCAAGACTTGCTTCTAATGGAGCCTTTTAGATAAATCGATTATGATTTTTGACTTTATTTCCTATGCTCACAGTGTGACTTTATTTCCTCTACTGATCCATTATTTTGTTAATAATCAACTATTGGATTAAATGGCAAAAAAACCTTCAAAATAGTGAATCTTTTGTACTCCGCCGATTTCAACTTGCAATATTCAATATTGTTCTAATGCTAACATTACTATTAAAACTACATCACCATACAACTTTGTTCAATTCCATTGAACGATTTTTTTTAAATAAAGTTAAAAATGTTACAATTAGAATTGATGTGGTGAGCTTTGTTCTTTCAATTTCTTTCGTACGCTTTGACTCGAAATGAAGTAATTTCACACAAAATATGTTAGCAAGTGAAAGTTATTATTCTCCGGACCACTTATCTAATAAAAACACAAAAATAATCTGATAAAAACACTCACTTGTCTGATAAAATTGTTATTTAATACTTTTGATCTTAACCTTGATTTGATTTTTTTGTCATTGTTTCCATTCCAAAAATGTCCGAATTGTTGATTTTTTGTCTTTCAATTTATTTATACGAAAAACTGAGTTACTATTACATTGTAAGTGTTCTTTTAAATTTGATTTCTCCTTGGGGCAGAGATAACATTTTGTGGTAAATATTGAATAGTACGGAGATTAATAGTCGGTAATGCTGACCTATTTTGAGTACTAACATTCAAATATTTATGATCCGGTCGTTATGTGAGACACAAGTTGAAACTGGTTGCAGCATGAATTTATCCAGCATACCGTACAGCATATACACCATTGCTCTCTCAATACATATGATAAATTGGATAGGCGAAGTCAAGTTTTGGAGACAAAACTTCGTCTGAGTAACAAGTGAATCTGCGACGAGGGGGAATGTATTCAAAAAGTTACAAAAAATGTTCGAAGAACGTTTTACATTTTAATTCATTCCTCCCAAATTCTACAAATAATAAGATACATGAAAAATTAATGTTCAACACAATGATTGCGTGCAAAAAAAAAATAATTGAGGTAATTTAATTTGAGTTCAGCAATAACTGATTCTTTCAAATGTAACAAGATTCACCTTGAATTGAAGCATTCTTGTGTTCCATTTATTCTGTGGCCCATCGCACCAAAGCATTTCATTCACTTTTATACGCAACGGACCCCACTCTATGTGAAAAAAAAGAGCGCCACTGGCATTCAGAAATCACTCTCACACGATAAGAGTACATTCATCACATTATGCGTTGAACCAGCATTTAACAATCATTTTCTACCCTATTTTTTGCTGTGATTTCAAAGCACTTTACGGAGATTTAATTCTCATACATATTCTCTTCCCCCCACACCAAAAGATACGCGCGCACACACAATCGGTCTCATTTCATTTAAAGTAAGAGGATGAAATGGTGAAAAAAGTGGACGACGTTGAATATAATACCATATTCAAGTCATTTATCGTTTCTTAGCAAAACGTCAACCAGAACATAAATATCCACTTGCCGATGCCTTGCAACGAGTAGCAAAACAGTAGAAAAGAAAGGAATTTGCAACACATACACAAAAGTGCCAACTGAATCGAAGCACTATACACATGGAGCCAGAGATAGAGACAATAAAAAGCATTCAATAATAAATAACAATCTGTTGAATATAAAGCGTAACAAAGCCACTTGTCGAGTCACATATACGCATGTACGAATGTTGCACATAGTATGTGGATGTGTGTGTGGAGTTCGAAACACAAACTGTTGATTGCGAGCAACAGGCGATATGATACAAAATGTATGTATATAATGTGCTGACTTCTTGTATCATGTTGATACTATCAAATACCTAGCTACGGATACTTACAGGCGTCTACTCATTACATACTCATTGATAGATCGCAAATTCAATTAATTTTTCATCGACAGTAATTGATGCAGTCTATTCATCGCAACTGGTTTTTGGTATGTTTGAACGCTTTTCGGGACTCATTGAACTAATTTTACTGATTAGAACTTTCTGAAGCTGATACATTGCATTTAAACTTCTTATTCAGAGCATAATTTGCGATAAAAAGAATTTCACAAGGACAAATCATTTTACAGAATTCAGATTTCAGTTTGTATTCTCTTATCATTCACTATGTCTATCTTTAAAATCTTTCTATTTACACTCAAGAGAGTGTTCCACATAATAAATAATCCGTTCCCCAACGGGAATTGAACTTTACGACAATTGAATCGGTGGATTTGTCTATTTTTGAACTTATTTTGATTACGAAATTTATATCCTTATTTATATATAGCAAGCTATCGTAGATAACTTATTACGTATATCATATGGTGGAAGAGATCAAAAGAGATTAAAAGGTTCTTGAAGTCTAATAAATATACGATTTTTTACGCTTTAAATTGCCCTAATTAAAAAAATGCCGTGGCTTCCCAATGTAATTTTGTGAATTGTCGCGGGGAATTTATATCTAGCATATGTGTTTTTTCCCGATTATGTCCCAATTGACGTCACCAACGTCACTGCAGGTAAATGATCTCTGATTATGTTGCGTGAAATTAAATAACAAAATGAAATCAATAAAAAATACGTCACTATCTCTTATCTCCTAATTCGTCAAACCGGAATAGTGTTATCAATGTGAGACCCCCAAAAAAGACTCTCATATTTGTTTATCAAACTTTCTGGCTGTGTGTGACACTGACCATGCTAATGTATTTGATGTCAAAAACAAGCACTCATCAAAAGCACTCAACGGCGATTATGTGGCGATGCTTTCGAATTGAATTGAGGATTTACGGCATCTGATATCGTACAGTACCATGAATTTGTGTTTGAACTCTTGCTTTTATGAATCACATCCCACATACTGAGAATTTTGTCAATTTTATTTGTTTGGGTTTTTTTATCACTCAAAAAAAAAACGTTCATGATTTCCATGGTGTTTGCTAAGTGTGATTGAGGCTACAATATATACATTTCGAATGTGTGTGCGATTGTATGGCAATATATTTTTGAATTGAACGATTTTGCACGCTAGAATCGGTTTAGAGTGGCAGACCCCTTCTATTGCATGCGTACAACAGCAATATTGCAAAAATCACTGCTTTAAAAGTCTGTCATGGTCAGAATGGGTGTTCAGTTGCTTTTCAGCAAGCGTCGTGATTTCTTGCTCACATATTGATTCGTCGTGCGATACAGTACACATTTTCCATTCTTGATTTTGTGTAAGGATTTTTCTTTTATGTGATTCGTATTGAGTTTTGTGTTTCTTGTGTATCTATTCACTCGTGAACTTTTCGACTTTGAAATAAAGCAAAAAAAAAAGGTAAATTAAAGAGCAAATGTTGCGATTCTTTATTTTTCACAAATTATGTCTCGACATCATTTCATTACATCAGTGTTTTTTTTTTAATTCGAAAACCTGTTGTAATTTTTTTAAATTCACAATAATTCTCATTCTTTCAATTGGCAATAAAAAATTGTTAACATGGAACTTTGATTAATTTTACAATGGTGGTTAAAAATCACACAGAATTCATTTGGTACTATACATTGGAAAAATTCAAATTCTAACGAAATTTAATGCACAAACAACGTTTTTTTGCATGAAACTTCCGACCAATTGATAAATTGGCCATGCATAACATTTTAGAATTGAAATATATTAGCGAGAAAAACGAGCGAGGAGTCAATTTCACAATCAATATAAGTCGAGAAATTCTAATCAATGAGAGTGCAAAATTAATAGTGAGAGTATTCTGGGGAAAAAACATGGAAATACCCGAGATTTCTTTTAATATTTTCATTATTTTTAAATTGTTCGCTCACATTGGAATACATTGATAAGAATTTATCAGGCGAGTCTGAAATTCAGCGATATTTTCACTTTAACAACGCTTGTCTCGTTATATTTATATTTAGATTTTGTAATAATCGCTTTAGTTACACGTCGAGTTTGATTTGCTATCAAAGATATATTTATTGATTTTTTGAATAAAATTGAAGGTTGAAATCATGAGATCTATCCATAATTCATCGATAAACTGATCAAGTTTTAAATGATATAGGAATATCTACATTTCAAGTCTAGTGCGATGAAATTTTTTGTTGTAATTCATTAATGATGGCTTAATGATTTTCATATGTATATGAAAAGTCAAAACGAGTGCTTACGATTTGCATGGGTGAATGGCACTCTTCTGGCTATCTCACCTTGAGCAAAAAGGGAAAAGTGTTAAAGAAACCAAAAAAGATTTTTTTTTGCAAAGTTGACGTCGTTGTAATTCTTTTTTATACACAATGTTCTAACTGTCGTCTTTGGGCACATAGCACCACCGAACTAACAAATAATAAAATTTTAAAGGAATATTTAAGAAAAAATTGGAAAACTCGGAAGAATTTGAACATCGATTGATTATTCATTTTATTTATTCACCATCTAATCACAGACTGAATTTATCACGGAATGAAACTGTAATTAGAAAATCAAACTTAGAATCTATTCTATCTTCATGATTAACAGCTGTTAACGATTGTAGTTATTCAAACACACGTAAACATAAAATACCAAAAATGTATTAACATATTTCCTATTAATTTACTAACATAATTTTGCAAGCATTCATTGAAAAATGGCAAAGTTTAACGAATCAGTAAGTAACTCAAACTAACTATCAGCATTCCAATAAACACACATTAAATGCAAACTTACAGTTAAAGAACAGAAATGCTCATTATTTCATTTTTTACGTTTGAATTCTATTTTTTAGATTGACATGGAAGTGCCAGAATTTAAAGATTTTGCCAAAGAAATGGTTGACTACATTGGCAACTATCTTGAAAATATACGAGAAAGGTAAGATTTCCGAGTAGCAGAAAAATCCAAACAAATGAATGACCAAATTGTTGTTTTTAATAAGATTTATTGCAAAATACAATAAAAGAAGTGTTTATAGAAGTGTGAAATAATGCCAGACTCATTTGTGGTCAATAAATCATGAAAAGTTAAATGTTAGAATCTAAACAAAACAGACACATTAATTATGACTTTAATCCGATTGCAATTATCAATGGGCTCTTCGGAGTGTAGAGCAAATATATAAAAAAAAATCATAAACTTGAGAGTTATTTATTTTCATTTCGTGTTTTGTGAAACGTTCTTTGCATGTTCAACCTGAATGCATAGTGATTGAATTCGTGTCTCTGCGCTGTTTCACTTTTAAATTCTTATGTTTCATACGTTGGCATTGAGCCACAGCTTACCTACAAGGTAATTAACATTATTGCAAAGAGAAAAATCGAGAAAAAAAATGTTCTTCGTTAATAGCGTGCCCGACACTTGTCACTTTGAATTTGAGCTGCTGTGCTTTGATCGCAATTCTGTACGCACGACAACAACATACACCAAAATATTTACATACACTCGAGTTAAAAAGCCTTAAAGTGATCCAAACGCTTCGCACGCGCTTTGAACTTGACCTAGAAAACTTCAAGTCAAATGATTTTATTTAAATGACATCCAAAAACTTGAATATTTAAAAAAAAAATCTAAGATAGTTAATAATAAATCGAATGGAAACTGTCCATTCAACTCTACGGATTCAAACAAATTAACACAAAGATGATGTAAGACGAACAAAAGCATAAACACCAATACCACTCAACAGTTGTTTTTTGTATAGTTTGTTGACGAATGCATCATCATTGTTTACATGATAGAGACATTTGACAGTTGATTATATGTAGTATTGGTATCCTTATTCATACATATGTATTGGTGTATCAGATTGAAACAAATTATCAATCAACATTTTTGGAAGAAGAAAAATTGAATTACAAATTTAGTTGAATAAAACGTTTGCCGTTTTTTTTGCGTTAAACTTTGAAAAACTATTCAAACGCAGACCGATACAAAGTATGCAGCCAAAATAATATTTCAAATGGTCCGTGGCATGACTTAACCTCACTTGCGCATTCAGAAAGTGTGAATTTGACGTTTGTCTGAAATCAAAAACAAAAAGTGTATAGTTACACCTTTCGATTGAGAAACATTCAAAACAAATAAAACAATAATTGTTCGAACGTATTAACGAATATGCATTGGTATTTGACAGATGTCGTGCATCAAAACGGGAATATGTTGCAATTTTTATCGAAAAGTCATGCTTAGTCAGTGAAATAAAAAAAATTGTGTTTATCATTCGTCACCAATTCGATGATAACAAGCCAAACGAATATGCACATTTAGTTAATTAAGTGAAATCTTGTCTGTATTATGGCGAGTGCAAATCAATTTTATGAAGGATGTGGCCAAGAAGGACCAATTCGTTGTATATTTTTGAGTGAATTCCATGACACGGCCGGTTCGAAGATTACGTGTCAGGTAAATGACCACCAAATCTGCCCAAATCATTGATAATTTCATCATTTTGAATTCATAGTTTCCCGAAGGTTACGTCTCAAAAGAAGTATTTGATGCTGTCAATGTTTATATTATTCCGAAGCCACAATTACAAGGATGTGTTCTCACAGTGTATGAAAGAAAAACTCCTAATTCTTTTATTTTAATCTTAATATGTCTCAAACAAAATTTCCATTGTAGGAATGCATTGGGCTATAAAATAGTGGGGTATCCGGTCCGAATCGAGCATCAAAGATATACACGGAATGCTTTTTACTTTAATTTATGTTTTGTATGTAATTCATGGGCGCGAACTGTGCAATATGAACCAATCGTTCGCAAACTTTCCGAGTATTTTGTAAGTTGAAACAAACTCCTTGACAAAAAATCGAAATATTGATTGTCATTTTGATTTTATAGAAAATGATGGAAGCTGAAAGCACATTTTTATCAAGAGATGAAGGAAAAGCGAATGTTTTCAAAGTACTAAATAAAGTGCTGACTGATTTGAATGCAAATAAAGCGACCACAATAGTTGAAGGTGAAACAACGATTCATCTGAAAATCATATCATATTTCAGTGATCCGCCAATAATTTACGATCACTTGGTGCCGATGTTTAACGATAAATTCAAAGATATTCCGCGAGACACATGGGATTTAACAACACAACAGGTTTGAATCAATATAATGATGATATTTTCTGATAAGGCTCCATTAAAATCGTTCATTCATTCACAGGTATTGCCTTATATCAATGGCATCAATCATATAACACGCATCGCTGCCGATTCAGATGTAGAAATTGGTTTGGTGAAGGCTTGCATTCAAAATCTAGTATATTATCAAGTCGTAGAAGTACTGCCACTACTCAAATATAGCAATGTGTACATGTGTACACGAAATCTCCAAAAATTATCCACTGATAAGGAACTCACCCAAGCATGCAGGTAATTGTCACTGTTCAGCTTCGTCATTGTTCCGAATCATAAAAAAAATTCATGGAAATCTACTTTTTTGTATAGAAAATTCGTTGCACTAGATTCATCGCCAACGCTATTGCCGTCAATATTGAAAATAATGCAAATATATTCCTACATGACACACGGTATTACGTTGAAGGCATTATGTGCACGGACAGCACCGCGCGAGAATAACATTGATGAAAGGTGAAAAAATTGACCACTTATTTGCATGACACTGATAATAATATTCACACGACACCGCTGTGCATAATATTCATCGTTAATACGCTTGATTTTTATACTAAATACAGAAAACTGGTTTCATTTGGAATCCTCCATCATTTGATTCGGTGCATCAATAAATATCCAGTGTGTATTTCGGAATCACCAATAAATCGTCAGCGATTTTACACAGGCATCCATCATATCGACGAGATTTGCTGCAAAACAGGCTTATTTCCTGCCAAAATTCAAGATGATCTTGACAAAGATCCCTGTGTTGTTACAATATGCAAATGATTGAATCTCTGAAAAATAAGCTTCTATATGGTACTAATTTACTGTTATTTTTTTTATTTATTGGAGTGGAATTGAAAAAAAAATCAATTTTTATTAAGTTAAAGTTTCTGTATCGTTTTATTTTCTCTTATCTTAAAAAAAAGTAAGTCAAAATACATTCGTTTTTTTCTTTGCAAAAGAATAACAAAGTCGAAGTTGAAATTTGTGTTTGTTTTTGTATTAAATTGGTATCCTTAAAGTCTAAACACATTTAAAATCTAATTGAAGTAATCACCATGGAACTGGCAATACGCCGATTTCTTTCTTCAATTCATCGTATAAATCTTTGTATTCGGGATGTTCACGAACTAAAACTGTGACGGTACCCCGTTTAACACCCATTGCGGCGCCCAATTCGTGACGGCTCGGTACATAGGCATATGGAACGCTTTTCTCCTCACACACGGCCGGCAAATGGCACATTATCTCAATTGGCGATACATCACCGGCGAATAGAACGATACTGGAACAAGCAAACAATGAAAAATATTCAATTAGACGGGTTTTTAAAAGGAAAAAAATCGTGGATCGATATTTTTAATTTAAAAAACGAGGTTTTCATTCGGATAGAAGACTTACCCAGTTTCACCTTTCTTCAAGCGGCTTTGTACGTCTTTCAAACCATTTCTCAAAAATGACTTTTGCTTCGATGCTGAAAATAGAAAAAATAAATTAAAATTAATTTTAAAACTAAATCGTAAAAATTATAATGATATTTCAATCAAAAGAGCCAAATTGCGCTACGGCATGCACACCTTTTTTGATCAATTTCAAGCACTTTTTGGTTAATTTCTTTGGTGCCATTGGTTTGGCAATCACCGAACAATTCTTGAGCTTATCTTCATATGTATCTTCTTCTTTAATCGATACATCGCCAATTTCTTGGGTTTCATCGGCTGATTGCTTTTCTTTCTTCACTTTTCCCATTTCGATAAAATTTATTTTTTCTTTTTTTTTGAAAATTTAAAATTTAAAACCAACTGAATGTGTGTCGATGAAAGACGGCTTCAAAACACGTGTATGTAAATATGATGTTGAAAATGTGTGTTTGACACAGAAGAACGATAACGTGATATTGCCCGATGTTGCGTTTGACGTTTAAAAAAGTGCCATGCAACCGCCACCAGATGTCAGAACCTAATAAAGAGTTCTGTTCTTTAATTGTTTATCATGATACATACAACAATTTTTCGGGATTTAATTTATATTTACGTTTCTAGTCAATGTGGAGAAAATGCTGAATCAATCGAAAATTTTGCTGAAAGCAGAAAAAATACCAAATCTCATTCTCGTTCATGCGATAATGTGAATGAAAATTATCAGTTTAATAACAAACAGCACTCCACCACATTCACAAAGACAAACGAAAAATTGCGTTGGAATTCATTTAAACACACAGAGTCCGTCCAGTTGCTTGATATAAAATGTTGGATTGTATGTATGAATATAAGAAACCGAGAGTTAGTCAATAGTAAACAATGGCGTTGCGCGAATGAATCATTTGCTCAAAACGTCTTCGATCGAGTGAACAGATTTTTTTTTGTGTCTGTCGTGTGTTGTTTTATGTGTTAGCATATTTGGTTGTCGTGAAAAATGATATGCGGCGACAATAGTCAATTTTAAACCGTTCAAACAGTGCAAATTAGAAAGTGCAATACACATCAATTTTTTTGATTTAAGTTATTTCTTAGCGAATGAAATATGAATTTTTGTAATAGTGTTTGACTTGAATTGACAAGGACAATAGAAATCGAAAGAAAGAACAAAAGACGAAGTCGGCAAAGAAAAAAGTGGTTGAAATATTCATTGCGCACATCAAATCGAAGTGAGTTTAAGAAAGTTGAAAGTTAAAAATATTGAATGGTTGTTGTTTTTTGTGACGCAATCGAAAAGTGTCGAATAGAAATTAATAGATTTTGTGATTATCAGGTGAATGTTTTGTGACGTTTTTTCATCTTTCATCGACCCAAAGCGGTGAATTTGTGATAAGCATTTCACATACATCTGTTCGGCGTTGATAAAGCTACTTTAGAATGTTACAAAAAAAAAAATATTCCAGAAACATATGGCCGGTGCTCCGCAAAAAATCGAGTCATTGAATTAAATGGAATTCTTTTTTTCTCTATATTTTCCATACACAAAAATCGAAATGTTTACGCAATATAATATGAAGCAATTTAGCTGTAGATTTGATCCAGATGCCATTGAGCTATTTCATCGAAATGCTATTTCTGTTGGGACTTTTTTTTTGTACTGCCGATTTTTACGACACACCATAGCATATGCAGTTTATCATTTTAAAAACCAACCATTTCCCGAGGAATAATTATCACTGATATTTTTATCAGTTGGTTGCTCTTATCGGTTTTATGTGTTTTCATTCACACAATTTCTACATGGATATAATTATTGTTTGGGTGTGCGTCTCGCACACACTGTGCAATATCACCGAAAAGTCTCACCAACAACGATAGTGTCGACAGACTCTTGGCGTCATAACAATTTCCTGTGATGTATTCTTTTTGCAAATGCTATTGAATAAAATGAAATATGATCGGATCATAGATGCGATGGATCACGCGCTCAGAAATAACTCACGATCGCAATAGCATTTCTTTTAGTCATTAATGTAGGCAAATGACAAACATATCAACCGGACTTGTTATATACACTGCTTTTTTCCCTTCGTTTTCGCTGGCAATTCATTTTTTTTTTCTTTCGCAACTCGTTTCAGACTATTAATGTGTTAATGATGTATACATATATACTTCTGCAAAAGTTAAGCTCACTTGTTTACATTTTTATGAATTGCGATCGCGACTAACTGAAAAGATAGTTGGAATGAATGTTTGTAAATGGCTTTGCGGTAAAGTGCAATGAATACAACAACATTCAATACATTCGCATTGTAGAAAAAAAAAAACGGTATTTTGCCATGTAATTGCATTTGCACATAGACAAGTTAGTCGAGTAATGCACATGCACTCTTCATTTCAATGAGTTTCGAAAGGGAGAAACAAAGACGGCAAAACGCACCAAAATGTAGGTTGCATTAAATCGACATTTTTTTTTATTCGACGCTTATGCATTCCATACGACCGTAACGCCAAAGATCGAAATTACCTTGTATGCCAAAAGCATAATACATAATTATGGTCAAATTAGGTGCAAATATATTTTGTCGGCGTGTCGAAATTGCATGTTTTAAGAGGCAAATAATCTCAAAACTTGGAATAAAAATGTTACGTGCTCGAAGATCGATGGCACAGTCAACGGTCTGATCAGCCGCATTTCGTTTTAACAATTAGTTTGTTAATAAATATTGAATGAAAGAATGAAAAACAAATAAATAGGAACGAAAAATATTGATATTATTTAAAATAATGACAAAATAAGGCAGTGCTGCTTTAAGTAAATGAATATCAGTTGTCTGGAATCCAGATTCAGTGTCACATACAATCACTCTCACACACAATCACACAAAATATTCACAAGTTTATGTGAATTGTAAGCGCTTTCTCATCGTGTATGAGTCATTCTAGTTGGATATTTATGTTTGAGTCGACACAATGAGCTGTATAAATACATATATATGAATTGTTTCTTGTTCAAAAGGGTCATAAATGTTTCGCAATATATTTTCTGGGAACATTGAAACACTTTTTGTTTTTTTGTGTTTCTCTGAATTTCCGTACACCGAACGAGTTTAATAAGTTTCTTTTGATAATTGAAGAGATATACATTATCTGCTCCAAATAGATTCTGATTATAGCCTGTTTCTTAATGCCGAAAAAACCGGAGAGCACTGCTTTGATTTGTTTATCCCATATAAGTATGAGTTTAACAAAAACCGAATTGAGAACAGAAATATTGAGTCCAACCAAGAAAGTGATGGTACTACGAACGAATGAATGAATTTAATAGTTTTCAATTAAAACCAATTAAATGGTGACGAGTCATCGCACGAAAAAAACTTAATCGACCAGAACAAAGACTCCATTATTTACTGTTTGATTTTTGTTTGGAAGTTGTTAAAATGATGAAATTGTTTATGAATTTATCGGAGCATAAAATTCATACTTCTACTTGGGTAGTATAGAGTTCAACGTAGCACACGCTACCGAAACCAATTTCAAACCGGATCATCTCATCGTGAACAAAAACCAACGAAACATTAAATTAGTCACAAACAAAAGCAAAAACATACGACTCGTAAATTCAAATAATGTGCGCATTGATTAAGCGATATATTTGTTGTTGTTTTTTTTTGCTCTCGTTGCAAATATCGAATGGTTTGTGGAAACGGTGCACTTTGAGTTAAGATAAAATTTACACACATGACTAATACACACTTTCATAAGAATATTTCCTCACAGTCAACAGTCAATTAAGCGTTCGCTAGCCTCTGTCATGGAATGCACTTGAAAACATAGTTAGAATCATAAATGCGACGATGTGATTCGGACACGTTTCTGCTGGCATCGTATGTCAGTTTTACGCGCTTCCTTTGGCTACAGTCGCAATTTAGCGCACATGTTGCAAATTATTATGTTGTTTTCGTTTTCTTTTTGTATAAATTGATATGATAGTTTTCTGCGTTGTATCGTTGTGAAATTGAATGCATTGCTGTACAAAAATAAATTTGCCCATTTGGCTAATTCAATAAAATCTCGTCTCCATTCTTGTATTTCAGATTCATTGCAACTAATAAACAATGGATACAGTGGGGGAGAAAACGCCAGTTCCGGTGCCAAAACCACGACGCCATAATAACAACACTGATGCCAATCTCAATAATAAAATCGCATATGAAAATGTATCGATCGATTTAATCAATAAAAATATCAACATCAAAGATGAAAACATTCAAAATAATTCAAAAAATAAACTGCAAACAGATAAAATGTTTTTGATGCCAAACACGTCAACGACATCAAATAACAATGAAAACAATAACAGTAACAACATTGGTGGCAGCAGCAGCACCAGCCACTCACAGATTTTAACCAATTTAAATGATTTGGCCAATGCACCGGTTAAAAATCAAAAGAATGCGTCGCTGGATGAAGTGAATAAATTGAGCAATATTTACAATGATGATGAAAATGTGAATGTTAAACCCGTGCCAGCTCCGCGTCGTGCCACAAGCAATACAAAGCAATTTAATTGCACACCATCAACGGGTGCAATCAACAAAAAACCAACAACAATTGATATAAACGATTTCATTGAATCGCCAAAAGCATCGTTCAAATCGAAAAGTGGCAAAATTTCGGGGAGCTACAGTTTTGGCAACGATGATTTTGATGGAAACGGCGATGATTCGCCAAAAAAATTCAGCCTTAAGAAAAGAGAATCAATTAGTTCGTTGAGTTCAAGCCACAGCAGCAGCTCCATTACAGATGGTTCAAAGTATCATTCAGCATCGCCTGGGTAAGACATTATTTTCTCATTGATTATGCTATGTGTTGGTGTTTGGTTTTTTTTCTTCTTATGTCTATAAAACTATCCCATTCTCCCTACTTACACTCTCTATCTGCATGAAATGGTGGTGCTTTGAAATGACTAATACAATTTCCTTCTTTGTCTCTCTCTCTCTATCACAAAACCCAAACACTTCCACACGAAACAAAACAAAAAACGCAGGAATTTACTGAAGGCAATCGGAAGTACCTCCAAATTGCTTACCGAATCAATCACCGAACGTGTTACAAATCGTACAAAGGATGCCAAGCATAAGATCGATAAAATGCAAAAATCATCACGCGAACGAATTGCTGAGACCACAAAATCAGCCACCAATAAATTGAAAGCAGTTCGCAAGAATATACATAGTACAATTGAAATGACACAGAATCTATCGCTTGGACGAAAGAAAAACAATGCAACACCGAAAACGGATAGCAAATCAGCCGAAACGACTGTTTTTCATTTGGACAGAGTACAATCGGTGCCAGTGAACGATGAACTATTCTCATCGATATCCTTTTATAGCCCGTTAAATAGCAAAACTAACAAATGTGCCAACATTAACCAGGCCGAATCATCATATGAAATTCCTAAAAGTATAAGATCTCTTTCCAGTGATTCGAGCGGACTGAGCGAGCTCGCGTTAAACAAACTGCCATCAAATCCACCGCCATCATATGAGGATGTACTGAAAGAGGACGAGAAATCGGCCAATGATCGACCCAATCCCATTGCTCGAACACGGAAAAAATCAAAAACCAATTCAAATGTTTATGAAAATCATGAAATAGGCGGCGAGCCGTCAAACAAAAGTGGCGGATCGAAGCGCGGTTCAACGTGTGACGAAGATGATAGTGATGGATACTCATTGCCTTGCCCGAATTTTCCAGCACCAGTACTAAATGAAGGTATTTATGGGAAAATCCGATCGAAAGATCAGGATAATGACAGCATCAACGGCGCTGTGGCATCGATGCAACCACCCACCCGGTCTCGACGACGAAAAGAAAGCATTCCAGCGGAGAACAAAGAAGACGAATTAGATGGGGCCCAAGGTATCAATTCCAATCGTGCCACAGCCGATTCAAATGAATTTCCATTAGAAGAAAAATATGCAAAACTTCTCAGCGCCGATTTGTCGGAAGATTTAACGGAAAAGTTAAAATTGCAAGAGAGCAAAATTCCAACGCCGAGTCGCAGTGAATCTTGGTCATATTATGATGGCCATAGCGATGAATCGAGCTCGTCGGAGCCGATTTATGAAAATGAACGTGATCTAAGAAATAAAATGGCAGCTGTATCGGAACCTTTGTACGGTGTTTTATATAGCGAAGATGATTCAAATATGTTGCAACCAGTAGCGGCCGCTCGAAAGCGACGTTCACAAGGTATGTACGATCAATATGCGGTTGTGAATAAAAATCCCGACGTTAAACTACGAAATGTGGATGAAACAAAAGATATTTTAAAGGAATTTGATCCACTTGATCGCCGAACATTGGACAAAATCCTGGCCAGTAAAAGCAACGAATTGAAATTGTTGGAATGTATTTTGGGAAGTGAGACGTACGGTGATTGTGCAAACGAGAGCAATTATGAATATCATAGCAATGAAACATCGGATGGTGATGATACGTGTGAAGAAGTGCCAATACCACCGGAACGTTTGGATTCATTGAAAGAGTGTGCAAATGAAGATGTTGAAGCAGAGACTGAAGCATCGACATCGAAGAAAGATCAAAATGATTCGTTGACAGAATCGAGTCGTCGATCGGTTATTGTTCATCAAAATGTGAAATTGCGTTCGGATAGCGATGAAAATATTTCCAAAGATGACACAAATGAAAGTAATACATCAAATACACTTGAAGAAAGTACCGAAAGAGCATCGCATTCACGATGGTTTTTACCTTCTTCGCTGAACAAAAGTGACAGTAAATCAAAAGCGAAAGCCGAAAATCGAAAAACATATGTCGAAGAAATCGGTGAAGTTTTGGAAGATAAATCGATGATGACACCGATTTCAAAAACGTCATCCATGAAATCAATGTTTTCGAATGTGATGCACAAAGTCGAAGGAATCAAACGAAAGACAAGCTTCCGCAGTAATGCGAATAAAAATGAAGTGAAAACGGTTTTGGAAATGATTCCACGGCCATGTTTAACGCAACGCTTGATTTTACATGAAGGCCATTTAATTCGATTGCCAACTGGTGTGGTTGAAGACATTCTAAAAGAGTTACATTCACGCAAAGCATACATTCGCGATAAAAAATTCCAAGCATACTTCGATAAAGATTTGAAAACACCGAAAGAAAATATTCCATTGGAAACGATTACGACCATTCAATGTGTTAACAATCATAAATTTACACATAATTTCGTTGATATTTATTGCTTTGAGATTACAACTTCGATTTCGAAAAAAGACGGCAATAATTTATCCAATCCAAATATGGTGATCACATCGAATAATTCGGGAAACATAAAAGCACAACGAGTATGCCATTTGTATGGAGTGGCTAAGGAGTCCGAACGGTTCTTATGGATGCAAAAACTTTTGGAAAGCATGACAGACGCATTTCCACCAGGATTTTCAAGCAAATTCTATCGAGCCGGATGGTGTTACACTAAAGTAAGTTTATTTTACGTTTTAATCAAAAATAGTTGGATATTGACCTTCCCAAGTCAGTATAATACTCTTTTCGAAGAGTGTACACGCTCTTCTCACACTCTTCGTTTAGTTTTATTCGACTCCCTTCTCACACTCTTCTCACTCTCTTCTCACACTTTTGCATAAAACACGTATATTGAGTGAGAAGAGAGTGTGTAATGGTATTGGTAATGCTATCACTGCTGTCACTGCATTCCAGTGGAAGTAATGTTTGTATTTTGATATTTGAACATTTTTGACGTTTATAGCATTCGTCAGCTGTGTCAAAATACAACAGAACGACAATTGCTGTTGCAACATCTAATTCATTTTTTTTGTATACGTTCATTTGTTTCAAAATGTCAAAAATTAACAAAATCAAAAATTATCCATCAGTGGAAAAATTTATTATAAAGAAAAAAAAAAAATTTTTTAGAGAAAAAAATTGAAGCTCAGTTAAAAACAATATACGTGTTCTATGCAAAAGTGTGAGAAGAGTGTGAGAAGGGAGTCGAATAAAACTATACGAAGAGTGTGAGAAGAGCGTGTACACTCTTCGAAAAGAGTATTATACTGACTTGGGTTTTTACCTTTTCACAGAACTCCATAACGTCAACGTGGTCTGGTACATGGATTTTATTGCAAAAGGACAAACGACGTCTGCTCTTCTTTAATGTATCCAACTCAAATTTGGAGTGTATGGATTTGAGGAAGGCACGTTGTCTGGTACTTAAAGAAAGTGATGATTCCATTAAAAATCTTCATGTTGAAACTGGACCAACGCTTATGATTGACTGCCCGCCGTATACGGTTTATTTTATAATGACATCGTCGAGAGAGACAAAGGTAAATATGGCGAAAATACCAAAGCTAGTTTTGACATCTGCTTTAGAACAAACGTGTTCAATTTTGGAATTTTTTCGTTTTTCTTTTTAAAAAAATCTTAGATTTGGCGTCATATAATCCAAGAGGTTGCACACAATAACGGTCCGTCATTGAAAGAACAACAACTAACAAAAGACGATGTTCCTGTTCTCGTCGACAAATGTATCAATTTCATTTATGCTCACGGTACGAACAACCAACCTTTTCGCTATCATCAACTTTGATCGAATCGATCACTAAATTCTATTTCTTTTCTTTTAGGTTCAATGTCCGAGGGAATTTACCGCAAATCCGGTTCGGAAAATTCAATTCAAAAGCTTCTCAAACAATTCCGTTCCGATGCGTATTCCGTGCAGATAATTCGTAGTGATTTTAACGAACACGATGTTGCAAACGTACTAAAGCGATTTATGCGAGACTTGCCTGATCGTCTGTTGGGTCGTTGTACGCCAAGTTTGGTTGGTGTAGCAAAAATGCAGGGAAATCGTGAAAAAATCGAAGCATACAAAGAGCTGCTGTCACGATTACCATCGATTGAATATCATTCGTTGCGTAAGCTTCTCGGTCATTTGCATTTCATTCAATCGCAAAAAGCTCAAAACAAAATGGACTATTCCAATTTGGCGATTGTTTGGGGTCCGACTCTATTGCAAGAGCAAAACGATACACAGCAAGGATATTCACAGAGTAGTGCCGATGTTATTGTTGATTTGATTCGATTCCACAAGCATTTGTATGCGTTAAGCGATGAAGATATCACAAAGGAACAACTAATGTTGGCTGTATTGCAAAAATATCATGCTGCCGCCGAGAATTTGACAGACACAATGAAAAAGTCGGGAGATTTGAAAGTTTGGATCACCATCGATCCAAATCCAGACGATGAAAAGGAAGAAAAGAAACAGATCAATGTCACATTAACACCAACGAAAACGGTTTATGATATTTGCAAAGAACTAGCACCGAAAATCAATCGTGAAGCATATTCGGTTACATTGAGCGAAATCATTTTAAATGGCACACTTCGACGACCGCTTCATCATTCGGAAAAGGTGTTTGATATCGTACTGAAATGGTCATATTGGCCAGAAGCAGATCGTAAAGATAATTTTCTGCGATTAACACCGATGAAATTCATGAAAGAAGTGGAACGTGCATTGAAAGTACTGCCCTCAGTTATACCAAATAAAGAACTGAAATTTGCCGACGCACGGACCAAGTCGTTGAAATCGTATACGCTTGAGTTGACCGATCACAAAATCACCGTCATGAAAAAGGAAAAGAGCCAAATTGTAATGGTGAAAGAAATTGATTTGAAGAGAACAACCGCTTATTTGGGCTGTGAAAAGAAACGTTGCTTCCAATTACGATGGGCATTGACACTGATTGAAGATGGCAGCTCGATTAATAAAACTGAAAAGTAAGTTTGTTTATTACAGAACTAAAAAGGATGAATCTATTCTCATTAGAGTTATAAATAAAGCATATTAGAAAAGATTTGCCGGCAATAATTTTTCTCGAACAAATCTTTTACCGAATTTTTTTTCGTGTTTTGGGAAAAGTGTTTTCGACAAATCTTAGACCATTTCCTTGCATCTCAATAATGTATTTATCTGTATTTCCAGGAAGGAGAGAGAAACGCCATTCATCGGTCACATCATCGCCGGCACCAATTCGAATGATCAAGTTGTTTGGTATTCCAGCATTTTACAAAGTTTATACGGAGACAATATAATGCCAAGCCCCGAAATTATTTTACCATAAAGCCAATTGGCACAAGTATATATTTTTAAGTCTAAACAAATGTTAACATTTTACTAAATAGTCTCATTTTTATATTCCATTTTATCGAATTCTTTTTTTTTATATATATTGAATTTGGTGTCAATTTTATTTGTCAAATCATTTTTTCGATGGGCTTATAAAGTGAGTTGTGTTATTAAACCACTTCTTTGTTTAAAAATAGAATGATTGTGTATAAAAATGTTTAGAAGCGAGATTTTTTTTCCATAGCTATAGACATATAATTGTAATGATTTTATTGCATGCTTTTAAAAGCAATTAAAATTCACATAATGCCATTTTTTTACCTTAAAATAAACTTCCAATGATGTTTTCTTCAACATAAAATCGAAAACCATTGATTGTGGTGAATGGTTTTTTAATTGATCGACACGAAAATAAATAGACAATTTATTTTATCATCAAATCATGTATTTCCATAACGCCCAATACATTAATCGTTTACTTTAGTAGGAAAAATTATCGGCTATAAATGATATAAAGAAAATATATCGATGAAAAGTAAAAGAGACAGAGAGAGATACCTAAGCAATAATATTACTTTTTGTGAGTTCATAAATAGTGTGAATCTATGCATGTATATATAAATGGAATTTCAAACAAAAAATGAATTGATAAAAGTTCAGCACTTTTCCAACATGTACACATATTTTTCTATCTCTCCATATATTAACTTATCTAATATATGTTGCGAAGAATCGTTAATTTAGTCAAAAGAAGTTTCCTATTCAAAGTGCTATCAATTGAAAGATATTTATATATACAAATTTGTGCGTGCGATATGAAAAAAAGCAAAGAATATCAATTAAATGCTGTATGAATTGCGGCTCTCAGAGTTGCCGGTGTCGGCTGCTCACAGTGCTGTATGGAACTCGTTTTACTGGTTTTTGTCGCATACACAGCAATATCAAAAGTGTAAAGCATATCAAAAAACCAATAAAATTCAGTATTGCCGATGCAATTAAGATGTATTTGAATGGTCCCATCACTTCGTTGCAACTCAAGTCTCTGCAGAAAATGAAAAAGAGTTAAAAATACACATACATACATGAGCACATCGAACGATCATTGAGTGAAAAAAAATGTGTGCACAGAGTATGCATAGTTTACCTATAATAACTGCCATTGAGTATCTCTGCATCGGCCTTTGGTACACCAGTAGCCGTTACATTTGTCGATATACCGTCAAATCGACAAGTACACGCTGAACTATCGACTAAAATATGAACGGGTCGACACACGGCCATTGGCGACAATATATTTGTCAAATGATATACAGCAAATGATGATGCCACAAATGTGCATACGGCCGCAATAAATGTTACAAATGTCGAATTGATACGTAAAAATGTGATGAAATGTTGACGCAGCTTTTGACGCGGTCTTGGCTTAAATGCAAGCACAATTATACCTAAAATCCCGGATAACATTAACTGGAAAAAATAGATAAAAATTGATTGAATTAGGAAAATTAATCTGAATTGCATTGAAATAAGAATGGGTCGACTTACAATTAAACCGCTCCAATATGGATTATCACGAGCACTGGTGCTCGGTGCCCACCAGCACAACCAAAGGCCAAGACAAGAAACACCCAGTCCAGCTAATACATGTAAATTGAATAAATATTTCACCGAATTTGGATGTCGAATACTTAACGGGTTACGACGTCTCACCACTGCAACGTTTCGAAAATGGACAAAAAATGTATTATAGAAACGCATTTGAATCAATGAAAAAAAAAACAGCAAACAATTTACCTTGATAGCTTTTTTTACCAACGAGCATTCGACTGTGACGAAGACTGTTTCGTGTTGGTAAGTGTGAGCCCATTATATTATTTCCTTTTATATTTTGCGGTACAGTGGTTGACATGTAAACGGCCTGAAAAACAATTTACGTAGCAATTTTTTTAAAAATTATTATTAAAAGCGAAAACAAATAATTTCGATTATTATCAGATAAAATTAACATCAACTGCAATGTTCAACGTCAATATCTTTATCGGATGAGACAAGCTATTTAGCAATCGATGCATTAATAAATTCAATTCAAGTTAAAATTGCAATTACGTGTTCAATTCAATTTCCTTATGACTATGTGATGAATGACAAAGCAAATTCCGAGCATCAAAAACGGCACAAATGAGAGAGAATGAGCTTGCGTTTACGTAAACAACAACATGTTACAAACTCGATTCGTGGCCGATTCAAACATTGTATTTAATTTTAAGCTACATGAACGTGTTAATTTTGAGTACAAATTAAATTATCTTCACCGCATTAAATTCGTCACGAAAATGGAAATTCCAAGGAACAAACAAATAAATAAAAAATTGAGACAAAAAAAATTGGCATCAAAATCTCAATTTTTTTTTAATTCGCATAAAGAAAGACGTAATAGAAAAATAAAAAGGGTCAAAGACGGAAATTCTAAAGAATTCCTTCGCATTAATCTATTAAAGCATTAGAATAATGTGAACCAATGACGATGTGTGTATATTTAGCACGTGCATACACAATTGAAATTTACAACAATCTCAATAATACCGTTGAATCATGTCAAAGTATCAATTGTAATTAATTTGTCTATGAGTCGATTTATCGACATACTTTTCGCCATTTATTTACAAAGAATCACATCAATAAAATGAGTTCAAAGTAAGAGGGTTTGCGTTTATAAAACGGCTAATTAAAATCGTCATATACCTGCGACAATGATGATTGATTCATGCGAAAGCTGGAGCTGGTGTCAAGTGTTGTTGATTTGGCCGGTTTCATTGACGTCGAACATGACGCCAGATCAACCGTTTTCGAGCATGTCGGTACGTTCATCGATGAAATTGGAATGACACTAATTGCCGTAGCGTTGGTGATTCGATTCAAGCATCCGTTGCACTTATAATGATCGCTTTCATATTGTCGTATTTCGGTGCCAGGGTCACTGTCTCCGCACATACACGTGCAATCATTTGCATCGTCAATTTGATTTTGTCCATAGCACGAACTATTGCTCGGAAGATTTTGGTATTGTTGTGTCGATGTTGTGGGTCGATTCAGGCTCATCGGTGTAATTCGTGTGCCATATCCATTTAAAAGTGGTTCGTCTTCGCTAATCGCCGACGATTCACCTGTATGGTCACGTTCGTCTCTTTTATCTATAGATTTTTTCGTGATCACACCATTCTCATTTGGTTCATTGTTGTCACTTGGTTTATGTAAACCCAAAAATTGTGATTTTGCTGGACTAAAAACCGGTCTTGTTTTTTCTTTGCTGTGATTAACAATTGGATTTTCGGCTAAATTCGCATATTGTAGCGATGAATGTTTGTAACTATTTTCGGATGACGACGACGATGATGACGACGATGTCGATGACGAGCTATTCGATGGGGACGACGATGATGAATGATTTTGTGCAATCGTTGTCACCGTATGGCCTTGCTGGCTACGAATTTTGTTCACACCATTTCCGTTCACATGCGAATTATTGTTTACATTTGAATTTATGTTACGATGTAATTTATAATTGTTATTATTGATATTGTCGTAGCCATTTGACGAGTGTACGGTTGGTGTTGTATTTTGCTGTTGAAGTTGTTTCAATTCATCGAAGCGAAATGAGATGCCACTAAACGGAAACTCATTTACATTTTCGGTTCTTTGTATGGTATCACCATTTTCACGTGCATTCGAACCATTCATTTTTGGATCATTATTTAAATTATCGTATGTACTTAATGGCCGGGCTACTTCTTGATTTGGCGTCGAACGAAACTTTACATTCTCACCGGTCGACATCGTCACGTTCATTTAATTGAATCGAATTATTCCACAAAAAAAGATTCCAGACTTGTTGCTTTCGGTCGTGTTTACTTTCCTTTTCTCATCGGCGAGTATGTGTATACACACCTATCCTGTTTGCTCAATACGGATTTGTAGCTTTGTATCGTGTGGGCGTCTCATGAATAATTGAATCTGTGAAATGCCAATAAAACAAACAAACAAAGAAGATATTAACCAAAATGTTAATCTACAACCATAAAAAAAATTTTAAAACAAAATTCAACTTCAATTAACAAGCCATAAATTATAGGTTTCATTGCTTCAAACAATAGATTTGCGAACGCGTTACATCGGAAAATTCTTATTCTCATCATGATATTTGTTTGAAGTGAGCAATTGAATTTTGTTTTACTCATTCATTTTGTTATTATATTCTAAACGATAAATTGGTAAGGTTTTTTTTTCGTCGTCGATATGATCGCATGCTTTTTTTCAATTGAATACTACTATGATCGATTGTGGTTTTTCCATTTGCCATTTTTCGACGAAACACAAATCCACTTAATACAATAATTACAATTTTACAGTTGAATAAACGAATAAAATAATTATAGCTTGATATCATAAAATGTAATTTAATATTTAACGAGACAAGAATACTTGTTAGAATATTATTGTTCAACTTAAAGGTTCATCGTTTTTGAGCCAAACGATTTTACGATTATAGAACCTCTTTTAATGTCGGTTTATCTATCGTTCGTAAATCATTGCTTAATTGAATTCTACGCAGCAAATAGTAGATTTCGTAAATGGGCGATAGGTTCTTTCAATCGAAATAAAAAAAAAATTCATTTTATATCAGTTTTAGTTGAAAACAAACGCTCATTGATATTTTGTAAGACCTTTTGCGGTCCGACCCATAAAAAAAATTCTTGGTGTTTTCCACAGCAGGGAAACAAAATATCACACCGCACATCATGTTTTTTTTGTTCACATCGAGCGGCAAAGTTTGAGCAGTGAACGGCTTTACACAATATGCTCCGAAGTTCCGCGACATGGATAAATAAGCGACAAAAGTTATCACGCTTCGTTCCGATGTATATATACAAACTAATTAACTGGTTGCATAATGTACAAAACATAAACAACCCGTTTTCGCTTGGTTTTCGCGCGCGCGTTGTGTGTGCTACGACTTCAGTTTTGTGTGTTTTATTAAAACCATTGCACTGTGAACAGAAAATTAGAATGGTTTTATGATCGCTGTATGCACATTGCACATACATCGCACCGCCAGTGACATTAAAGCCAGAGAATTTATCTCTGTAAAAGAATGGGGCAAAGCGAGTATACGATCAATGCTCATGTTCGCGTGCACTCTTGGTTTTATTGACGTTGATTTATCAGCCATAAAAGTGCACAAGTATCTAAGCAAACGAATTTTAAGCTCACAACCTTCTTTTGCTCAAAAGAAGTCGATTTGGAATAGTTATTGTCTGAAGTCGTCGGTGACATTTTTGAATTTCAAGCAATTCTTCTTTGAACGATAATTTACAACGTTACGCCGTACTGATTTTAACAAAGACAAATACATCCCACTTATATTCGTCGTTACAGTGCATCGTATATTTAGTGTGATTTATGCTCTTGGTAGCGTGTGATCATGCATATGCAGCATTTATGATTTTTCATTCCATTCTATTTTTGGAAATGGTTGAGTTTTTTGTTCCGCTTTATAAAATCCCATTCACATATATTCTTCATTCATCGACTCCAAACCGTCTTGTTGAACTCTCATTAAACGAAAGTGTAACCTTACAAATTTTATGTTTATTTTTAGCATTGCTGCGCGTCGAAATTGTAGTAATCGCTTTTCCATGTGTATTATTTCAGTCAAAGTACCATGTTTTTGTTTAATGTTGTAATCACACACCAATTTTGATCCATTCTCAATGAAATTGACCGCAATATCACATCGTTTTTACGCAATATCACTTTGATTGGCAACCGACTAAATAACACTGAGAAATACACATCGACGCTATTAATGTAATTAATGTGCTCTCAGAGCGAATTGAATGAAAACCATGAAGTACGAACAGTAATCAATCGTGCGCCCGCTTAAACAGTTTCATGAATTCCAATTAGAGATTGTGATGTATTAGCCTCGCCGTCTGTGATATCGCATCGTTCTATATTACACACGCTCACACATTTCGAAAGATCTTTGTGATCGATTGGCAGCCAGCGTAAAATGTGCTGTTTGCTGTTTTTCTTTTCGCTGTGTTTTGTAGTGCGTTTCAATCAGACAGATGATTCAAAGCGTAAATCAATGTTCATTGTTGTTTTGCATCATTTTTATCGAAGCCATGACATTAAACCATATTATTAATTTATGAATATACAAAACGAACTTAAACGCCATATCAATTATAAAGTGTGAGCAATTTGCAAATGCAAAATAAAAAAAAAATTCAAACGCAAAAAATGGGAATAACAAAACGAAGAAGAATTGAACAAGTGATTCTAGTCGAGAATGCGCTTGATTAGAATCATATATGAAAATGCGTGATTTTAACGAATTAACTGAACAATAAAAACAGCAGATTTAATGAATTATAAACAAATTTGCGCACAAACCACCGTTGAATACACATTTTAATATATTTTGCCAACGATTGTAAATTTATAAAAAAAAAAAACAATAGCTGTGTGCTGAGCATTCAAGCGAACAATCAACTACATTATGACAGTTTGAAAGAAATGTGCTTGACGACGTACAAAATAAATAATACACATTTTTGTGTGTTTCGGTTTCGGTTGGCTAATGGATTTTTCGTTTCTTACTAAAAAATATATGGAATGGAAACAGGCACGTATTGTATGAATGCATTTTGCTGGTAAAACACCAACAACAATAATGCGATTTATTTTTAAAAAATGTATGCATGTCAGATAGTGTGAGATTGTATTGGAATAACAACATTGTGTTGTGTGTCGTGGCGGTAAAATTGCAAAATAACAGAAAAAAAAGAGTCGAAATAACAATGCCAATGCTGAATGCCTTTATTTAGTTTTCACATTTACAATTTTGATGCATATCAAGAGTGGAAATGTCATATACCACAATAGCGGAAGTTTGGACATTTTAGGCACTCGAAAGAGAAAAAATAATAACTCAAATTGCTTTCAATGAGCTAGTGACACAATAACAAAAAAAAAACGACACAGCGCATTGTCTTTAAGATACTCGTGAATGTTGTAATCCTGTTCGATGGATGCACGTCATGATCTCGGTGTGACATGGATTAAATTTATTTCATGTCAAAAGATCATAACTACGCGCGTGCGTAGGTAGGCCAAATCAATCTTATCGCAACAATTTTCTAATGAACATACATTCACGAAATATGAGTTTGATTATGACAAATGCCCTGCTCAAGTGTCCAAGAAAGACACTGCTAAAAAAATGGTTTGAAACAACACGAACTTGTTACGAATTAATATTTATGTTCGGTGAATAAAATTTGATGGTCTACATGGGCTTTAATGCAATTTAGCACACATAATTTACATTGGGAATTGTTCGCGTAATTCGTTTTGTTCATAAATTTTGATTTCCAGCTATTTATGTTTCATTTAATTTGAAAGGTACTTAGCCTCGATATGGTTAAAAACGACTGCACACACACATATAAGCGTTATTCATTTTATTTTATTTTTCAACTTCTTGGTACCATATTTCTTTCTATCAGGTGCGCATAATTTTGCACATTTAGTGAGTTCGCAGTAAGTTCACACCGAATGAATTTAAACTTCGTAAGTTTTTTTTGTTTTGTTTTTATTTCATGTGTATAATACCAGAACACACATACACACACACACTCAATGCAAACAAGGCCAACGGGCAATGAAGTAAATGTTCTGTCGTTCACTCACACCAGCCAAGAGACCGAGTGTCGATGCCAACAGCGCAATCAATTCAACTTTCTTTACAAAAATGTTCACTTTTGCATTCAGCATTGCAATTTGCAACAGCATGCCGTCGATGATATTCAATGTTTTTCTGTAGAAGAGACTCAACTCATTGCTCAAAATTGTCGAATAAATCCATTTGAAAAAGCATGCCGGACAAATAAGTCGAAAAACCAGTATTGTGTATTGATACACAAGGCATTGCGAGTTTGAAATGTACCGTAATTTATCAAATGAAAAGAGAAGCGAAAAAAAAGTGCACAACAAACTGTACACGATAGTTAAACATTACATTGTAAATGATGGTGGGAAATGTCGACGAATATGTTGGATTGAGTTCGCTGCGCAAATGATTTATGTCAAATCGATTAGCTATATTGTATTTTGCTCACAAAGATAAAAATCACAAACAATCCGCTTGCGCACCCGGATAAAATACACAACTTTGCACTACAAATTATTTTCCACTTTGTGAAAGAAAAATGACAATTCACCTCGAAGCCACACACATCAACTACGTGGAAATAATATCACATAAAAACAAAACTTAGCAAAACACTGATTTTCCTTCTCGATGTAATGAGTCTTTTTGTGCATGAAGTATATATAGAGACGAAAGAAAGTCGGATGCGAAGAAACCGCGATTGACTGTCACAACGCGTAGAGAAAAAAAAACAGGTCTGCGTCGTCGCAATCGCTTGGCTAAACTGATTCTCTGCATGACACCAAAACAGACAACACTATTATTGCTGCGGCTGCTGCTGCTGCTATGAAATACCAACAACCGATTCACACACTAAATCACCGAACAAGAAACAGTTTTTATTCCGTTCAACACAAACACAAATGCAAACTAAACAACAGAACTACCATACTCAGTTCGTGTAGATGGAGAAACTACAATCAAAATAAAACTGAACATCAGAACGCGACTAATACACACATATTCAAAATAGCTCACAAATACAACGGAATCGATGTTGGTTTGATTACTTTTCATGCGTGTTGTTCGTTGTTTCTCATTCGTTTCGATTTATTATTACAAGCGATTGTTTTTCGATTTTGTGTTTGTATACATATAATCATTGCCATCATTTTTTTTATTATTTCTGTTTTTTTCATTCACATTCGATTGTATTTGTGTCTGAATGTTTAGTACATATTGGGATAGCGCGTAGAGAAAAAAAAGAACAAAGTTCTCATGCATACGTCAGAGGATCTTTCTATTTTAGTGGAATTCGAACCGGGAATATTTCCAGCGTCTTTTGGATTTTCTCACATTATTAAATGATGACCATTTCGGATTACCGATGATTCGTTAAAGACTAATAATATAACCAATGTATGTCTAGACCACAATCGTCCATTAAAATGATCACATCATCTTTTTTCGGTTTATAATTGTTGTCAAAGAGTGTAAGAAGACAATTTTTCCACAAAAAGTATTTTTTTCGTGTAAAAATACACAATTTTTACATGTTCTCTGACCTTCATGAATTAGTCATTCATGGCATTGTCCGCTGCAACATGGTATGCACTTGTGTTCTGAATGCATGTTATCAGTAAATGTTTTTTTTCCTCCGAACAACCATCTAATAAAATATCAATTAGCTAGGTACTCTTAAAACAGTAACAGCTGGATACTTTTAAATTATTTTTCTTTGCTGCAAAAAGTCACTTTGATTTTTTCCATCTGAAATTCTGTTGAAAACACTTGGATCAAATCACTCAGGTTAAAAGAATTGACGTAAGCGATTCGAAAAAAAAATCAATCAAAACGTCTCTTTTAGTAAATCGTCGGAGCAACAATTGCAACGTCGAAAATGCGGCAATCATTCCAAACGGCAACTAAATCCGATTAAAGCCCGTGAATGAACCTGAGTCATTAGAATATTCACACGATGTAAGGTGTGTTTTCCTTTACAAATTCTTCGAAAACGCGATCCAATCACACATTGTATGCTGATTAATAAAATCACATTTTAATTAAATATGCACGAAGTGTTAATTGAACGTCAATTATGACGGCAAATGATCGATATCTGGATTTTTATCAAGCCACATCAATATATAACATTTTTAATTTTTCTTTCGTTTCATGTTTGTCTCGGAATATTTTCCATTAAATTTGCCACACAATTCTTCAATGCATTCTAAACGGTGAATAATACAAAATAAATATCATATTTTATTACTTTCATGAATACATTTTCGTGGATATGCTACAAAGTAATGAGAACTCATTACCGTGTACACTGTACATGTAAATGACCTTGCCATGCATAAAGTAGTTGTTGTTTTTTTTTCGTTCTTTAATTCCATGAAGAACGACGTTTTTTTGTTATGTAAAAGAAATTACCGATAATTTTTTTTGAAATGCATGTTGGTGAATGAAAAAAAAAATGAACAAAAAAGTGAAAACATTTGTAATCGAATACGAATGTATACAGAAAAACACGAAACCCCATCGAATAAATTGTTTATACACGCATGGTATAGAAACCAATGCACAAGAGCAACGCATATGTAATATTATTTTCCTTTGATCAAAGTCATTCGTATTTTTTTCAATGTACCATTTTTATGATCTTCATTTCCAAACATCATTAAGAGAAGACAAAACTCAAACTCATCATGGATCAACTCATAAATAGAAATCTAATTTGATTCTCAGGAATTCGTTGAAGATGAAAATGGACGTCTCTCGAATGAATACAAAATTAGTTCGTATCATCGATGTAATATCGAACATTGACGTGACTAAGCATAAATGAGATATCAATGCCACAAAAGCGTAACAAAAGGCTCATTGAAGTGCTCTTTTTTTATCGAATTCTAATAATCGCTATTCTGAAGCACAAGAATAGGGCAAAAGAGTCGCATTACACGAGCCAACTTTGTTTCAAAACAATATTTATACGTCGCGTTTGCTAAACATATTAACACATTAAATGCGTTCATTGACCAAGCTGATCGACAACAGGGGAAAAATGCAAACTGTTTTGCACAGTCTTCCGATGTAGCCTTGAAAAGAATGCACTGGCAAATAAACAGTCTTTTTTGTGCGCATTTTTATTCGCTACGGCACAAATAACACAAAGATGATACTGTCTGATGCGTGCGCACGTTCCGAATTAATTCAATGAGCAGATGAATATGAAGCGACTTTTGCCGCTTCACATAATATTTGTATTACACATTTTCGAGTTTCGACCCATTTATGTATTGAATACGAATGCGTAACACACAAAAGCCAATCGCACAATACCGTGAAAACATGTTTAAAACGTACGCTTTGATGATCATTTCATTTTCAAATAGACCGGCCGCTTAAGCTGAACACGCCATCTTGTTGTCAAATTAATAAAGTGATTTTTTTATACATTGAGGAACTTCGGGCGTTTTCCATTCCAAATTTAAATGTGTGGTTAAATGAGAGAGATTTGTTTGTTTACAGGTGAGCTTTGAATGAAAGAGAGTTAAAACTCTCAATTTTGGCGGTGTTATGAGAATTTTAACCAAATAATCACTAGAATGACCATTGATCGTTTTGGAAACGACGTTTGTTGATTAAGGTAGAAATTTTCCTCCAAAACAAGATCATATTTTGATCATTTGAAAAAAACAACTGCCAAAAAAATCATGTAATTTTCGAAATATTCACAATCTTTGAAATCATAGTAAGACTTTAGACTCATAGATCCAAAAAGGTAATTTCGGTTCGAAAAAATGATCATATTCATCGAAAAATAACGGTATGGAATATTTTTTTAACACTAATTTAAAATCAATTGGCGATTTCTGCATTCCCGCGCGTATTTCGTCGCTATTAATTTGATGTTATGTGAGTTCGCGTCCAATGTTCTCTGGCATTAAACAACTTCTAATGGTAAACAGCAAATCTGCTTGAAAACAATCGCTCGCACTCGTCGGTTAGGTGATTTGCGCACGTTTCGTGACGCGCTTGTGTCTGTATGCATTATGTCTTAGCGTTAATACGATCAACGTGCGCTGTTCACGACTGTTCGATGCCGAAAAGAAGTGAGTCTTACAACCAGTTTGCATTCGACTCTCAAACAGTACGGATGTATGTCGAAGTTGTGTGTATTCAAAGTTTACATCTTCTCCGATATAGTGACGAAATGATGAAGTGAATTTGTTTCAAAATCGTGTGTTAAGTGATTGCATGCAATTCTTTGCCCAATACGAAAATTACTCTGTTTCTGTAATCGAAGTGCTAATAAGATCGATACAATATTACATAAAAGGTGAATTCTCTACCAATTAAAATTTAAAATTTAAAGCGATCTGTTATGATAAGACAAGATAGTAAAAGCTCATTTTCAAGAACATCAAATGCGACCGATGTTGGTGTATTAGAAAATGTCAATAATCAGAAAGAAAAAACTAGTTGAATCGATACAAAATTGGTTATAATGTCGCAATCGTCATGTAGGCGGTTGTAAATAGTGTTCATTTACGAAAATAGCACCTCAAATGGTCGATTCAGTGACAGCGGTGGCAGCCGTCGCAACTTGCTATTTAATATCCAATCGGTCGACTTTTTTCCATCGCCAATTTTGGCATTTTAGTGGCTATGTCTACGTCAAAAATTCGATAGAAATACATGTTGGTGATGCGATTTATTTGCAATTCGGCATAAACACAAAAAACCAAGTCGAGAAGTGAACCATTGAAATTTTAGTGCAATATGTGCCGTCGAAACGACCACATGAAGAGGAGAAGTAAAATTAAAACGAGCACAATCCGATAAAACCTGTTATTTGTATATTTATTTTCAACATTTCGATACGAACAACAAAATTGGTTCATAGATTCGAAATAAAACTGAAACTCTTTTCCGCATATGTATATCTCGTCTCGGTTGAATGTTGAATGTGCGCCTTTTACTTGCTAAACCATATGATTACAAACCGATCGCTACCAATTTTAAATGCAAAATACGTACGACGGTTTTATGGATATAAAACACACACACAGACTAATTCATCTAACCAGTAATCACAGACAGAAAACTTTATGTATAATTTTGTGTATTTTTTTTCATTTCGTCGATGTGTTTTCTGTGAATGAGAGAAAGACGCAAAAGAATTATGTAAATTTGGTTTTAAAATCAAAAATTAACTTTTTGACTTTTATGGGAGTGCGCTAAAATAACGGACGCTTTCACAAAATACGGCTTTATGGTGATTACGACTACTTGTTATCGATTACTCATGTTTCGTTTCATGTTATGAAAATTCTTCGGCTCGGAAGAATCATTCAGAATTACAATTGACCATTTTACATCGATTTACAACAATCACTTAAAAGTGGATTTCAATTTCACATTCTAATTTCAGTTCTATGATATTCAAAAAAAAAAAAAAACTTGTTTGCTTTTTATCTTGAAATTCTATTTCATTCAATTTTCAAACAACTGCTTTCTATTTGGTTTATGAGTGACCACAATGAAACATAACAAAAAAACGATATTTCTTTTTTTTTACGTCGATTCAATGGTTGAACGATTTCCGACGTGTATTTCTTGTGTTTGTTCAATTTCGATTTATTTGTTTTGGTGATTCATTCGATATATTTCTTTTTCTTCTTTTTCTTGTCATTCGATTACGATGAAATATGGGGCAATCTCAAAATGGATATGAAATAAGCGCGCTCAAGCCAAGAAACTGGTATTTAAAAAAATGCTCTTAAATTCACGATAAAAATGTTCTTTGTGAGTCACAAAGCCTACTCATTCAGATGGCCTCGATCCATCCAATGTCCGAAGGAGAACAAAAACAAATTAAAAGAAAAAAAAATCCCTCAACAACTGCACCGCGTTGCAAAGCAGAATCGCATTATTTACAAAGAAGTTTTCCTTCTGCAGAACCTACATTCTGTGACTGTGTGCGAGTCTTTCCGTTTATGTAACGAATTGCACGATTTAATGTTCTTGGTACGCCTTATAAGTGAATGAGCGAGTGTTTACTTTTTTATTGCACCAATACATTCTGTTTTCCTGCTTTGTAAGCGCACTTTTTATTTTCTCTTCATTCGTTCGTCTGTTGTTTGCTTAAGTTTATGATTCTTCTTGCCCAATTCGGCGATCATTCAAAAGTGTCGTCGCGCGTTTTTTAAGAAGCACGAAGCGTTTTCTTTCTCCTTTCTTGTCGCAGCCATACACAAAAAAATTAGGTCAGTGTTGACCCTTCTTTGCCTTTCTACTTCGCTTTCTTACGTTATCGCATTCATATTATTAATTTCATTATGGGACCCATCATTTTCTCTGTCAATATTGGCATATTCTCAGAATCGTTCTCACATTTATTGGCGGCTGTATTCGCGCAACGATTCTCACACACAATTTTCAGCGACGACGACAAATAACGTATGAGAACATTGTACAAAACTTTCTTGTTTCCGTTTTGTTATTTAAAACAAGTTTTTGACATACATATTCTAAGCTGTTTTTTCAGCATCATCTTCTTTGGCTGTTGTTATTCAAGCGGCTTGCGGCTGATAATAATGATTTATTGAAATTCATATTGGTTGGAGTTGTTTTCGTTGTATTCGAATCGAAGTGCTGTCTATGTGATGCATTTCCACAAATGGTTATTAGCGATTTTACTCTGTTGAGCCGTTAATCATGGGTTTTGATTCACAATATATATATATATTGCATGCATCTCTTTTAAATGTCAGCCGAGAAGCTCTTTTGTTTTTATTATGGTTTCGTGAAATTTTAACATTTTATCTTGGAAATATCATACAGTCGCTCTTTTGATGCAATTTATCGTCATCTATCGCGCGCGCGCACACACAACTCTCTGCACCAGAGTGAATGTTATGACGATATAATGTTATAACGATTATGCACCGTCGGTGTTGTGGTATTTGATAGTCATGTTTCCATCGAAATGCAATTAGTTCCGTTTTTATCCCTCTTATCTACAGCTACAACTTCCATCTTAAATCTAACGCTAACATTTTCAGGTAACGTTTTTTTTCCGCAATTCATTTTGCGCATTGTCGATTGCATGTTTCTCTTTCAAACATAAAAATCAATTTATTGCATCGCCTGAATTTGATTTATATTTCATTAAATGGAAAATTCAAAACTTTCCCGCGCTTTTTTTCGCTCGTTCGCTCCCTGATATATCGTTGACACATTCTTCCGTTTTTGAAAGTAATCGCATTGAATGTCAAACAAAAGAGCGATTCATATTTTTTTTTCGCTAATTAGAGGTTGTTTATTTCTCACAAAAAAATTATTTCGCCGGGTCGCTCAATTTCATTATCAAAACGAGAGTCGGATATGTGAGGAAGTTGTAATGTGACCACTCTTCATCGTATTCATAATGAAGAGAAAGTTTCTATATCATCAAATGTGATTGTCAACAACAATATTTGCCGCCGAATGAATACATTGTCGATGGAAATGATTCAATGAACAAATTGATCACAAATTAACTCATTTTCGGCTTGGAATGAATTCGCTCACTCTGTCAAACTTCATTGTTTTCTTCTTCTTCTTTTTACTTCTTTTATTACTGAGCGTGTTAAATTGCGGAACTTCTCACATTTCTGGACATAATTCGCGTGCGCAAACAATGGATGTCCAAAAATCAATCAAATTTGCTGATTCACTGAGCCCCAAAGCTCGAAATCCGATTTTAACTGAAAATCGTCAAGAAAACGAAGTTATATAAAATTCAATGGGAACGAAGTAGTAACGCTGTCCGTTCGCAGTAGTTGAATAGGCGTCTCGAATGCTGATGTTACCATGAGCGAACATACAATTTGAGGGGCAAACGAATAAGAACCGTAGAATCGCATGTGTTTCGGCATTCATTATTTCAACATCTGTGCAGTTTATGTAGTGAAATGAGAATGTCTTGAAAACGAACAAAAAAAAGAAGAAAATTATATTCAGAATTGAAATAAAAAGTAGTATAATGAAGTTTTATCCGCATATTTAATGATGTTATTTTTGTTTGTCGTTTCAGACTTGAGTGCTTTTGTGCACCTGAACAAACGTGCAACAGAATTTGGTCGGTTTGAAGTTAAAAACCAAGAACTGATACGATACACAAACACAAACTGCACAGCCAACACCTACATTTCATGTGCGGTTTGCAATTGAAAATTCGAAAGAATCGACGATTTGTAAAATTCGAATTGCGAAAACAACGAAGTGAAATAGACCGACCGACTGCGAAAAAGTGAACGTGAAACAGTCGAAAACTATAAGAAAAAATTAAGACTTGATAATTTCGTATTCAGTGACGTGCGCATTGTGCTGCAGCAGTGAAATAAAAACGAATTATATAGAAAAATGTGTGGAAATTCGATGGTGTCGATTGTGTGTGATCATACAAATAAAAATTGAAAAATATCAAACAGTGAATACACTCGGTGTGTAGCGTCTAATCAAATTCACCGTATGTTTGTGGCAAGCTGCAACCCGTGGCCGCTCTCTGTGTATTACGCATTAAATGCGACTGCTATTCCTTCTCTTTCTCTCTCTTTCTCTGTGTGTTCAAAATAAACGCTCCATCAAAATACATTTTATGATTTGCTAAATGCGTCTATCGTTTACGATTTTTTTAACATAAATTACGGTCAATCGCACACAAAACTGTAGGAACTAGTGAAACAGTCGGCAGTCGGCTCTATTGCAATTAAATTATAAAACAGAAAACGAACAGTATAATAACAAAAGTTAATATGAAAAAAGTGAAATTAGATTATCGATACACTGACGATCATCGAGGGAAACAACGATCACGTCCGATTGCCGCATTTCTCAAGACAATGTTTAAATTAGAAAATGTTACGATTTTAGTTTTATTAGTATTAGCACATCAAATCCATGGAATTTATTCACAAGGTAAGGAAATTATGTTAATACTCATTTACACACCAAAAACACAAATTAAAATGTCGAGGAAATGCTCGCAATGAAGAAAAATCAAATGGAATTGTAATGAAAGTCTCATTTTGTGAGACTTCATCGTTGCACAAATAGCGAGTGAAGAAGTGTTTTTGTGTGGCTTCTGATTTCGCAACCACAGGCGCATTTGTTGACATATTTTGCAATCGACCAACAGAGAGCCGCCTTTTGTCTCGCAAATACATTTTCGGATAACATAATGAACTACTTGTGTAGATTCTCGGCTCACGATTTCGTTAACAAATTGTTGTTGTCGTATGCCTTTTTAACACGATACCGACAAAATTCAGCGCACAGTCTTCATTCGATGCCAATGCTAAAAATGCCATTGTACACATTCACTTCGTCGTCTTCGGTTCTCTGAATGTTTCGGTCTGCTTAAATGTTCGTTCGATGTGCATTTCTTGATGTTAAGTCAAAGCACATGCACTTTTTGCCAGTCGTTGCACACTGATTGGATACAGCCATTTCATTCCAACTTTCATGCTGTCTCGGATCGAAATCTCATGATCGTTATACCAACTGAAAATCCTGTTTTTGCACCAATACACTTTCGACAGTCAAACACGCATTCAAACCGCCATGGAACGATCTTTTTTTTCTTTCTTTGGCATTCGATGGCAATTGCATCGGTTGTGCACGTATAAGTGAATGGAGTGTAAATGTTTCTTTCTTCGTATTTGCACGTTATTCATTGCCGACCATTTAACAAAGAAAGAGAGGGACAGAGAAGCAACAAAATTCAGGTTTTGTTTTTGGTTGTTCGTGTCCACTTCAATCATACAATGTTTCAAACAGCAATTTTACTACAGCAACTGTTATTTCAACGCACACTAACCCATAAGGCGCTCATGAGCACGCTGTGACTCTAATAAACACCACAACGACGATGCATAATGTAATAACACTTGTATGCGGTCGTGCATGCGCGGCCGTTCCATATGTACACATCGCGAAAAAAAAACAAAAGGAAAAGTTGTATTTTGAAAAGTGCACGAAAATGCCATAAATTTGCATTTATCACATTTATTCGATTGGATGCAAAGGCGAACGAGCGCACACGCGTTTTTGTTTTTCTGCACACACAAATGTCTATGCTCGTGTCGATTATAATGATATGAAAGCACACCGTTGCATTGTCAATGTGTGTATTTCGCTTGTCCATTCCATATTTTGCATTGGCCAACAACCGGACTTCAATATGGGCATAAAACAGATGCGGTCGCTTTTGTGTGTGTGGCGAGAAAGCAAAAGTTATGCTATTGAACTCATTAAAAAAACGCACTTGGTAATAATCGACAAAAACCAGCCATTTGGCTTCTCTTTTCCTATTGATTTGCACACTTTCGATATGCGCTCGTTCTGCTCGAAAATTGGCCTCAAGGAGAAGTGATAATAAAAAGGTCTTGGCATCGCATATTCAACAAGTATCGCATGTGCCACACACACATGATAAAATCTAGATTTTCTAATTCTCATGCTCCGACTTCCAATGGAAATTGAAAATTTCCATTTCATTTTATACATTCAATTTCGAATACGGAGTATGCATAAGTTTGTTTCACTTTGGAGAAATATTTTTCACAATATCACTCATAATAGAAAAAAAAACAAACAAACGAAAAAAGCGCAACCGAGTTTCTCGCCTTTTTTTGCGCAAGTCTTTTTAATTACGTATCGAGCGCACGTACTCAATTAGATGTATATATTTCAAAAATAAAACAATCGATTTAGCATACGTGCATGAATTTGGAGCAAAGAGAAAAATCAATGCGAATTAAGATAACAGCCATGGTAGAAAACCTTTTTTGTTTTCAATTCCCTTGACGAAAAAATGAATAAAAAAATCCCATTTGATCCGCGTCTATTTGATTTAATTCTTTTTTTCTTCGATGCGAACCGTATATTCAAATTCGATCTATATATAAATCTATTTTTTATGCAAAGGTTTCGTTTCTCTTGGAGTACTCCATGGAAACGAATTGACGATGGTACATGGTAGACAGACATACAGTCCTCGTTCAGTGTGGAATATTTCCATATTAATATAAAACCAAACAACAAAATTTTATTATTAGAACCGAAGAATGAGCTCATGGGAAGATTGTACTTGTGCATGTCTTAGTCCGTTGTTTTTTCTGTTTCTTCTTGTTTTTTTTTTCTTGTTTCATTTGAACATAAAGTTGTTGTATGTATTTGGTTTGTTATTTCTCACGCGTAATTTAGTTTTGCGGTTCTACTGTTTATTGAGTTCGGGTATTTGATTTTCTTTTCAAATTGGATCGAATTTTCCCATGACAACAACAACTGATCAAAACAGATTTATATTTGAGTTGCGTTTTTCTTGTTTTGCCTGCCGATTGAAATGTTTCACGAACACACGACGCCATCATTTGTGTTTTTTTTTTCTTCTTTCAATGGCTCGCGGTAGTGGCATAAATGCAGTTCGAATCCAAGACGTATAATGGAACTAATAATATTTATTCATATTTTTCATTGTTCAGTCGTTGGCGCTTAGCGGTTAACTCACATAATTACAAATCTCTCAATTCTTTATGCACGTCGACTATATTGTCTTCGATTCATCGCACCAACCAAATACACACCCGACACCCGTTTTACCCATTTTAAAAACTTGCGTGATCCGAATCGGAGATTTTTGGTGTGAGAGATTGAACTACGACTAGCCGGGCTTGACCATTGGGCATCAACACACAATGGCATTATAAATAAATGATATAGAGGCGATGATTGTTTGATTTTAAGCTATCGCTCGAGTGAAGATAATAGACAAAATCATTTCATGGCGGAAAAGTCCGCGGTTTGCTCTAGTTTTCACATTTTTAAGTGATTATTAGAGTCGGCGGTTTGAAACCAACAACTTTCCTATTCCAAATAAATATGGTTTTGGCTTTTGCCATTAAGCTACTTTCAATAGCATCAATCTTTATAGAAAAAACACACAAATAAATGGAAACGAATTAAACCAACTTCAGCTTAACCAGCCCATCGAAATCATCATTTCCAATCAAATCAAGTTTGAACAAAAAAATGATATAAAAATTAAAAATTGATAAAAAAAAACTGGAAAAATTCACTAACAGGGAATTAAATCGCATTGTGAGTGAATGTGTTGATCAATTCATTAAGTTGAAAAGTTGCAATAAATCATTTTTATGCCGTTAACGGGCATAATCGCACGAGAATGCATTCAATTGTAACGAAAGGGAGTGACTAAATATGAGGCGCAAAAGTAAGAAGAATATAATCGGTTTTTATCATTGCTGCAATCGGTTTGTTAATGTGAATGGTACTGAAGGTTATATCTCTTTTTGCATCTTTCTCTCTCTCTCTCTCGGTTTTGTTTTGATAAATTCACTTGCAACAATTGTTAGCTGTTGAACAAAACCAAACAACAACAAAAAACGCCAGATGAAAATCAGCGCACAAACAGAGAAAATCTCTAACCATTCATTTGGTTGAATGCCTTAAATGCTATTTGTTTAAATTTGCAACGGTTACTGTTGATTTAACCTGTTCATTTCATTTATCGTGCTTGCATTCAAAGGCAAAAAAACTAATCATATTAAAATGGTTTAGCAATCGGTGCCCACTTCTAGTCAATGCGAATCTTTGTGTGGAATCGTTTGCTTAAGTCTCTCTTCCATCGTCTTGTGCAACGCAAACGCTTTGCAAAACAACGAAATGCATGAAATAGGATTTGCTCCCTTCAAAAAAAAATCGCTTTGCCGAAGGTTGAGATCATAAAATGCTCTTTTGACTGAAGATAGTCGGAATGCTACGCTCAGAATGGTTGGCACTTTTGACAGGCAACGTTATTTCATATTTTTTTGTTGTTGTTATTCAACATAAGGTTGACTTTGGCATGCAAAGTTCATCGTACATGATTATTCTTACAAGAAAAAATGAAACAAGAGGAAGGCGTGCAAAGTGGCAATATAACATCAACTACACCGAATAAATTATGCGTAGATACACAACAATCTAAGGGCTCAACACACATTAAAAAAAATAATAAATACTTTGTAGGATTTTGTGTCATGTGAACAATGTGTTCTGCGGTGTTCATTCTATTGCAAATACAAAGTAATTTCATCGAATGAGATGCGCGCGCGACGAAAAATGTGACGCAGCAAAGAAACGGCAGCCAGTTTGCATTGTGCGACCGAAATGAAAATTCCACTTGGACGCGAATAAAAACACAAACACTTGATAATTTTTTTTCCTGTTGCACGCAAGCCGTATGACAGTGACGGCGAGTTCTTTTTCTCTTTATCTCTTCAATTCACTTTCAACCTAAACCACATTGATGGTATGCATTCGCAAGAATTGCATGCACTTTGATGCTGATGCAGCCGTCATTTTCTAAACAAAAACCCCAACCATTTATGTCATACATTAATTGTGCTTGAATCTGTTTATGAATAGAATTGTTAACCGTAATCACAGTGTTGCTGAAATGAACTCAAATTATTTCTTATATCAGTGGCTGTGTGTGTGTGTGGACGAAAGAGCCGCTTTTCGCATTCTGATGTCTAATCACAAAATTATGACAAAACATGCACATTTTTCATTCACTTTATTTTCCGATGTCATTGCGTGCGAAGCGAACTGAACGAAATGGAAAGAAAATTGCACGAAAGTCGTTATTATCTTGAAATGTGACGAGTTTTTTTTTGCTGAAGGCTCTACAAAAACACCAAAAAACCAATTGTTTACCACTTATTGAAACTTGATGTTAATTATTGTTAAATTCTCTACAGACGTCACTGTCATTCAAAATACAAATGTTTAAATGAAATTTAATGAATTAAGCCATCAGCGTTTTGAATTTCCATCGCACCAAACACGAATCATCGTGCATCGCATCTCAATTGCCAATTTGGTACGGTTTGTCAACTCACTTGTGGCATTTT